TATTAGAATTGTATTAAATAGGGAATTAATTATTTTTGCTTTTAATTGATCGATTCCAGTTGTTATTTTTGGGAGAACACCCCTAACAAGTGAAAACAAAAATATTCAGAAACTACCTTTCAAAAAGTACAACTGTGTGACTGATTTGGAAGGGCAAAAAACAAAATGTACCTGTCATTCCAGTGGAAACATGAACAATTGTGTGTGTGCATTCAAGAAACACTTCATCAATGCTGTGCTCTGAGGGAACAGGCACAGCTGCAGTGGTGCCGACTTTTGGTTTACGGATTGTGAGCATGTGTGGATGGACATCCAGGGAGAAGTTTGAGTGTGTTTCTTTTCCATTCCACTTAGGTCTGTAAAACAAAAATAACATTATATTACCAACAACTGCAGTCTCGAGTCAAAACATTCAACAGTCTCGTATAAAGTCATAACCTTTTGTTGGACGGTTGTGTGTGCTCGTTATCAAGAAGTGGTGCAACGAGGTTGTTTGCAACAGTCTTTCGTCTCAGAGGTTTGGGTTTCTCAGGCTTTGCAGTGCTCTGTAAACCTGCCAGAGCAACGGGCTCCTGTGCAAAAGTAGAATAAAACGTGAGAGTCTCAGAATAGAGGATAAATGATACTTTATGGGAATTAACTACTGAATTAGTGCATAGACATGTCCTACAAATGCAATTACACAGTATGTGCATTAGTTTCATTCACTCAGGAAGTGTTACCTCGAATGGTTGAGGGAGTGGATTTGAAGATGGAATCCACTTTATTTTTTTGCGAGGTTGTTTGATGACCAGAGGCTCTCCTCCCACCTCTTCCACCCGAGGTCTGAAGGGTCCAGATTGGAATCGAGAGTTTGTATTCTAGACTCCCTCACAGTTGGAGTAGAATCATGGTTGGACTGAGCCAGCGCTGCTAGCAGCTGCCGAACCACATTGTCAAACATCAGGTCACTCTCATTAGTGATGAAGTCCAGTCGGTTCAGTGTCTTGATATGGTCCCTGTTTTCATTGCAAAACATGGCCAAAATATTAATACCACAAAACTGAGATTTCTGCCAGCTCTTTCGAGTCTTGATACCGAGTTTATGCAGTTTGTCAAACGCAAAGTTTGATTTGTGAGCGACAAATAAATTTAACAGATTTAACAGAATAATGAAGTTGACAGAGCAGAGCTATGTCTACAGCGGCCATGATGCGCTGCAGCTGCACAGCAGGCAGTTTACAGTTTACCTTGAGCTTAAGCTCAGGATAGTTGCTGATGTCTGGAGGCTCCCCCAGAGCACAGGTGAACTCATTCTGTCTCTGTTGGGCGTAGTACATGCTCAGTGTAAAGTATGGGGAGTGGATGTTTGTTGGGTGGGAACACTATGGACAGACTCCGGTTAGACTTCCAGGTGGAGCACTGGCTGGGGTCAGGAAGTTGCAAAGGCGTGGTCCTGGACACTGTCCCAATGAAAGCAGGTTTTCTCAGCTCAGCAGTGTCCGGTTCTGGATCAGACGATGGCATAGGTGGCCACTCAGCTTGTGGAAGATACAGGAAATCTGGGCATTTATTCCAGCGGTGTTCCTGTGTCATCTCTTGCAGAGTGAGTCCGCGGGTAATATCATCTGCGGGATTGTGCTGAGATTCAACGTAGCGCCACTGTAAGGGTTCTGTCAGATTCTGGATCTCTGTGACGCGAGTGCTCACGAAGACTTTGTACCGACAGAACTCTGACTTGATCCAGCAAACGAACAGCAAGCTCTGTTTCGATAACTCTGGCAAGCTGCGCACCAGTGAGAGCAGCACTGAGCTCGAGACGTGGGATGGACAACTGCTTTCTGGGTGCAACACGGGATCTGGCAAACACAAAGGACACATGGGTGTGCTGACTGTCATCCACTGTCTGCATGAAGGCGACTGACCCATAGGCACGCTCTGATGAGTCGCAGAAGATGTGAATGTGTTGGGTGGCAGTGGCTGTATCAGCAGAAGCTGGTGCATAAGGACGTGGTAGCTTGAACTGCTGAACTGAGCGCATGATGGAGGCGAGAAACTCCCAGCCCAGTGCAGGAATATACATGATCCCTGCGAAAGCCAGCAGAGCGTAGGGCAGGAATTTATGCTCAAGCAGTGAAGGCCACATGTTACTCCCCTCGAGTTTAAACCAGGCTCAAAGTCGTTCTTTTGGTTTTAACAAGCATTTATTCGACTCCAGTCTTTCACATGTCTTTACATGTAAATCAACCTTAATGTCGACGCATGCCGTCAGAACTATAGATAGATAAAAAGAAACTTAAAATTAACCCTCGGATACAAAACACAAGTAATTACACAATAAAAATAACACAAATGTACCTCATTGGCCACATCCACTCAAAGGGAATAAAGTCTTGTACTTTTAAACCTTTTAACTTAAAATAAAATGTCCTTTTAGCTCCGAAGACAGAGCGCAGCTCCTTGTGTGTCTTTCAATTAAGGCTGTGCAGCCGTAAAAACTTCCCCTCGAAACAATATGCAATTGGAAGCTGAGAAAATTAACCAAAATAAAATGAAATTAATTAACATAAATTTACAGAAAAAATGTAACTTATTTACGCTATATATTGCTTTTTAAAATATTGTACTATATATTTCAATATGAATATAATTTATTATAAAACATGAACTTAAATGTATGACAGCTGCCACTGACGGCAGCTACACCACAGGTGAGACTCCACTCCAGGTACAGCGTCGCGCAGCTCCGTCCAGCAGTAGCCTCGGGCGTACAGTGGTTGGTCCATCCATCCATCCATTTTCATCCGCTTATCCGGGGCCGGGTCGCGGGGGCAGCATTGGGTTAGAATGAGCAATGTTTGTGTTTTGTTGTTCTGTACAGGTTCTACTGGCTGGTCAATCTGAACTCCACTGTACTGTGCCTTGGCATAGTTTATATTCAACAATCTGTGGCTAAAAATCTTGGATTTCTAATCCCATTCACTTCTGTGTTACTTGCTCTCATGGCTATAAACATGGTGCGCAACAAATTTACCTACAAGCCAAAGAAAGGTATAATTTTACACAAATGTTCTGCTGTTCAAACACATGTCTGTACTTACCTTGTGCTGTTTAACACAGGAACATCTCTGCTCACGACTCTGGGAGTGTTCATTAACTCCTTCAGGATGTGCTGCCTCCACTATCGCCGCATCAGCGGAGAAGTCACGTCTTGGCTTGACCGGGCCAAAGAGAACAATGGAGGTCGATACAGCGAGACTCATGTGGAAAATGTCAAAGTCCTCGCACGGCTTTTTCCTCTCTACAGTCTTCAATTATTACTGTTAATAAATGAACAATAACAAACATTTATCTTCCACAGATTCCTTCAGGTTACTACATACAAACCATGAATTCAAACCTTCACATGGATGACCTTCTCTTGCCCATCGGTGTGATGAATGTCATCAGTATCCTCCCTCTGCTGTTGCTGGCTCCTCTGATGGAGTTGGTCACCTCCTGCTTCCTCTCCACAGGAAAACCTCCTCTGGCCCCCGTCAAAGTCATCAGTATGTATCTCTGCACACTCACTCAGAGGTTCTGTCGTTACAGCTCCTTAATAAAATACCTAAATATAATTTTTTTCTGTCTTTTCCTCCTTATAATGACTTCCTGACCACACCCCTTGTTGTGCAGACCCTCTTACCATCCCTCCCTGTTCATCCTCCCCTTTTAGCTTTGGGCCATGCTCTTGCAGCCCTCTCTCTGCTGCTGGCAGGTTTTTCTGAACTGCAGAGAAAGACCTATCCTCTGGTGGAGCAAACTCTCTGGAAAAGTCTTGCAGGTCTCTTCCATGCCCTGCTACTTTCTGGCCCCTCAGTACATTCTCCTTGGTATCGCTGAGGCTCTTGTGACACCTACCTGTGAGTACCAGACATTACAGTACATCTCACAGCTTCCCCAACCAGCCAGTCCCTATGGTGAATGTGTTATTTAGAAACTGTTTATTCACTTTTTAGGCTCATTTATATCCTTCCAGTTAACTCCCAGTCACATCAAAGGGATCTCACTGCACTTCCTGCTTTTATACCTGATCTCTGGAGGTACTGACTGTTGTGTATATTATGAAAAAGTACTGGAATAACCCAAGTAAAAACTCAAATTAATGAAATTCTCATCTCTTGACAGGTAATTTCTATCCAAATGTTCTTCATGAGGGAAATCTGGAACGGTTCTTCTTTCTACTTCGCCTTTCTTCTAGCTGTGAATACACTTGTGCTTTGGCGTATCTCCTACAGGTGTAAAATTTGGACATTTTCACATAGAACTTCTGAAAAAATGTGATAATCCTAAATGAAATGTGTAATATTTTGCAGGTACCTTGACCTGTATGTGCAGGGGAAAAGCGATAGGTGTTAGTCCTTTGACGGAGAAACTGCTGCAGTATAAAGCCTGTCTACAGTTCTACAACACAGTCGAACTCTCCTACATAAACCACTCAGTCGAGTCAATTTTTATGATTTGCATTGTGTAACTTTTCTTCAAGAGGGCCCTCCCAGTGCTGTTATTACTTCACCTGCAATGTTCCAAAGTATGGCATTAAGCTTTTCAGTCTCCATAGAAATAAGCAAGAGATGCCACCAGGCCAATTTACAGGTGAGATCTGTGAGAAGATGACCTCACTCACAATAAGAATGCATGATTTTAAAGGTATTTTGGAGCAATACACACATCCATAATTGAATAAATGCATCTTATATAAGTTTAATGCCATATTGTGAAACATTGCAGGCAAAGCAATAGTATCTCCATGGTGCTGGATCCCCAAAATGAAAAGTTACGCAGCGTACATTTAAAGTGCGTATGACAGATTTTATGATTTTCTAATTTTTACTTTACTTTAATTTGGTGAGGAAAAAATATTGTAAATATAAATTATAGTTTTACACCAATTAAGAAGCAATTTGCAAAGAAAAGTTGAAAAATATGTAGAAAATTACAGGAAGTGGAGCGTTTTAAAACATACTGAGTCACACGAGGGAGAAATCTGTGCAGAAGTTCATCACAATTTATAAAAGAAACATTTTTTTTTTGATACTTTAAACATGATTTCAACAAAATAAAAATGTTTTCTTATGTTTATATTTGTCAGATAATAATTTCTGGATACATAAAACGCGTTTTGACCCAGTGTAAGTAAGTACATTTTATTCATATTAGTACCTTTCACAGATAAAAATCATAAAGTGCTTTACAGAGAGCAAGTACACCAGAAAACAATAATAAGTAAAACAGGGTCATAGGACTCAAGTCAACCAAAAGCTTTTCTAAACTGGAGTGTCCTCAGCTGCTTTTTAAGGAGCAATGCATTCCATAATTTCAGGGGATCAGCCTGAAAGGAGAAGTCTCCCTGAGTTTTAAGCCTGTTTTTTGGGTTCTTGGAGCAGCAGAGGGAATGTCCCAAAGAGTAGGAGGTAAAAGGTCCAGGATGAACCGTGAGTCTAACCTGGCATAGGCACTTTAATTTTTTTATTTTTTTAAAATGCAAAATTATATGATACAAACAAATTAGCAATGTTAATTATTCAAGCAATTAAGCATGACAAATGAGAGGTCAGACAGGAAAAATGTAAATAAAAAAATTATTAGGTGCTAGGAGTCTAAAGGCCTATTCATATTCATACTTCATAAGAACGTTCATATGTTAACTTCATGAAGAATGTTCTTATGTTTTTATGAAGTCTGAATATGTCCATAAAGTGATAAATCCATCTTCCAACTATAATAATAACATTCAGAAGTAGTTCATGTTTTTATCCTTACATAGAAGTCCAAAGATAATGGCACTTTTAACTATAGCGGCTTGATTCATCATCTCTAAATCATTAAATCAAAAACTGTCAAATATGATTGATGTTTTCTTTTTTGGCACAGTATACATGTTAAAAATATATTTTGGGTATTGTTGATTGTAAATATTTTTAAGATTAAAAATAAATTATTTTTTCTAAGAACTCTAAAGTTACCAGCTCTTTCTTTAAGGTGCTATATTATGCAAAATTGATTCTTGTGAGGAAAAACATACCCGGTGTTGTGTTTTGTTTCATTCACACGTCTACATCTCCAAAGCTCAAACTGCTCTGTTCCAACTTGTGATGTCATGTAGTGTTAGTTTTCATCAATTAAATCAATTAAAGGGCTGAAATTATCCACATGATTCAAGTGAAGGTGTATGGAGTTGAAATACACAATGGAGCACTTCCTGTATTACCACATGACATCACAAGGTGTTTTCAGAGTGTTTTCAGTTTGACAGAAGAACGCAGCCGACATATGCAGAGTTTGTGTGTTAAACATGAACAAAACACAACTCCAGGTGTGTTTCTGATAACATGGATCAGAAAATAGCATAATATGGGCGCTTAAAATAGCAAAAACTTAATTAAATGGTGCGTATTTTCAAAGTTGAGCCCAAATCAACACTGAACCCAGGATACACAGGTTCAGTAAAGACAACCTGAGTTTTATGCAGAAGTCCCAACTCATCATTTGCATTAATACTGTAGAAGCTCAGGATGCCTTCTTTGTATTCGAGGTGTACAGCTATTTTACGAGATCTCACTGGTGGAATTGGAGCTCTTTCAAGCTTATTGTACCAAAACTTGCACCCAGATGAGCCGCAGATCAACTTCCAGGACAGATTGTTATGACCAAAACAACAATCACTCCCAGAGCCTTTTCTACGGATGCCTTTATAGGAAACAGCCACTTCCACAACGCCTCCATCCCACTCCACCTCCCAGTACGTGTTTGTCTTAAATCCCTGTTTGCACAAGGCCTGGGGAAAGTACGTGAATCTGTCTTTGTGGTCTGGATGTCCCTGGTCTTTCCCGCCCCATGACAGCTCTCGGTTTGAAGAGGACAACGAAAGACACGAGGCAACGGTGTTTGGATCTATCTCCAGTTTGTGATCTGCACAAAAAGAAGTAAATAAAGGTGTATACAGCTGTACAGCTTTTTCATTGGGGGTCCGTCACCTGCTTGTTTCTATGGAGATGTCATTGCTCTGCCCGAAATGTTCCACAGTGTGACATTAAACAGATCTACCTCACATTTAGAATGCGTTCAGACTGTAGCCTCAAGTGACCCAAATCTATTTTTTTGCCACTATGCAACCTGTATCTGATCTTTTAATGACACAGATCTGATTTTGTCGAATGCGATCCAGGCCACTTGGATATGTGCTCCTAACACCGATACATATCCAATCTTTTGACATGTGACTTCAGTCTGAACAGTCAGGTCGCATTCATCCCACCTACACGTCAGGCTCAGAGTCTAGTCAATGAGGGGAAAGCGAGATTAGTGAGTTTATTAATATTTGGGGGATCACTGTATTCAGGCCAAATTGGAGGGGTCTTTTCAGAACCGGGTGTTTTTTGAAATGATTGCCAAATAAATGTCCGAGTATGGCTACAGATGGTCCTGGCTCCAATGTCAATGAAAAATAAAGAGCCTGCGCGCCAAAGACAAGGAGGCTAAAGACAAACAAGCAGCCGTGGACATGTAACCTGTTCATTTTACCAAGAATTCGACTGTATTTTGGGAGACAAGCCCAGCGTTTAGGTGACTTCTGCTATACTCACTGCATGTGACGTTGTCACAGACACTTTTGGGGCATTTAAAGTTCACACTGGAGATCACATACGTGTTGCATTTAATTGGAAATGTGAACGAGCTCACAAAAAAATTGGATTTCACAAAAAAATCTGAATTGAGCATTAAGCCCTGCAGTTTGAATATAGCCTTAGTCAATTACAAGTGGTTTGATAGCTCAAAAACACCTAGAAAAACAGACATTCTGACTGTGAGCGGGGTCGCCTCTCCATAAATCTCCCCTGTAACTTGGTCTGGTTTGGTCTCCATGATGATAGAAAGGTTTAACGCCATACTGTGAAAACATTCTAGACAAAGCAATAACATCTCTATGGAGAAAAGCATTCTACAGGCCCTCCACCAGAAAAGTTACAAAATGCAGCTTTAACATATAAATGCAACAAAAAGAAGCTGTGCAAATCGGTGCTTACTTTTGTATTTAGTCACAAGATAGTGTTTCAGTGTGGTTATGTCCTTCGCCTTGGGCACAGATAATGCTACAAACAAAAACAAAACAAAACAAAGACTAATAATATAAACAAATGGATGACTTTGTGAAACTCAAGGACACTGACATATTCTAGCAGAACGTACCTGAGTACTGAGTGAGGTTCTTCCATAATTCTTCCATTTCCGTGTTGCATATATTTTTCAGCTTTTGTTTTTGATTTTTGACAAACTCGGGCAGTTTTTCAGTATTTGTGTGAACATTCGTTTTTGCAGGAAGGACCCAAATGGCTTGGAAACCCTTTGGAGGAAAATAACTTTTATTACTATATTATAACAACTTGAACTTACTTGATACAGCATGATGGTTAAAGATACATTGTGCAACTTTTACGGTGGAGGGTCCATCACCTGTTATGACATTCTCTCTGTGAATAGGGCTGCCTCTCCATAGATCTGACCTGTGATGTAGCCTATAGTTGTCTCCCTTGAGACTTGATTTCAAGTTTAATCTTTACTTTGGAACATTCTAGACAAAGCAATAACATTTCCATGAAGACAAGCAGGTAACAGACCCTCCACTAGAAATGTCCTGCAATGCATCTTTAAACAACTGTGTTAATTTAGTCAACTAATATATTCTGGCATATTTGGCATATACAGTATAATACCTAATCTAATACCTACCCACCTGGTCCTCTTTTAGACAAAACCTAGACTAAAACCCAAAACAAATAAATAAAATAAAAAATAGCTCAGCGTGCATTCAGACATTTAGAGCCTAGTTTAGACTTAAAGTCATGTTATAATGTTGTTACTTCCTCAAAAACAGACCTGGAGCTGTGTTTTGTTTCATTTCACATGTTTGACTCTTTATTAGTCTGTCTGCATCTCCAAAGCTCAAAATACTCACACACCTCGTGATACCATGAAGCGGTAGTTTTCAAGTTTACAGCTACCGTTTACGTTTTGTTCAAGGTGGAACAGAGTGTTTTCTGTTTGAGAGAAAAACTCAGCCTGAATATGCAGTTTGTTTGTGTGTGTGTGTTAAACGTGTGAATGAAACAAAACCAAACTCTAGGTCTGTTTTAGGTGAGGAAACAACATTATAACAAAGATCAGAAAATAGCATAATATGAGGCCTTTAAATCACCTGTATAAACTGCATGGGCTCTTCAGTTTGTAAGATCTGTGTGAGTTCTTCATCCTTCCTCTTCAGAACATTCACTTCAGATCTCAGTTTTCCGAGAAGAGAGTTTGTCCAGTGCAGTCCGGCCTTCTCTGCTTCTCCAACTCTCTCTCTCACATCTGCACATTTCTTCTCCATGGCAGTGACATACAAGCGGATGTTTTCTTGACAAACGCGCTCAAACTCATCACAGACTTCCCAAGCGGTGCCCTTTAATGAAAACAAATAAAACACATAAGTATTATGAGTAATTTTGTCATGTAATAGTAATTGTATGCATGAAATATACATTTTTTCCCCCAATAATGCACATAAAACAACCCACTTTTATGGATTTCGCAGCTTCTTCCAGTTCAGTCATTTTTTTCTCTGAATCCATAACTCTGTCTCTGATTTGGTCTTTATTTTTTTCTATTTGCTCCTGTAACAACAATACAACACCTGAAGCGTGAATAAAACCAGTTAAACCAGAATTTAAAGTAAAAGTAGACTCATACCTGCACTGCGTTCATTTCCTCTGTGACAGCGACAGTGTCATGGCTCTGGTGGCCCTCTACCACGCACAGTGCGCAGATGAAGAGGCGCTCTGTGCGGCAGTACAGCTCCAGGAGTTTGTGGTGGCGCACACATATAACTTGTTTGTTATTCTCTGAAGCTTGGACCAAATTGTGTTTTTTGAGAGGTCCGATTTCTAAATGAGGGTTTAGGTGTATCTGGCAGTAAGAGACTAGACAGGTGAGACAGAACTTACACGCACTACGTTTTTTCCCAGTGCATATGTCACACAGCACGCCCCCCGGCTCGTCCACGTCTCCATCCGCGGCATCAGCCTCCACAGTTTTGTTGTGCTCCTCCACCAGCTCCGCCAGAAGCGCGTTTCTGAACAGCGCAGGCCGCGGAGTAAAGGTCTGTCTGCACTGGGGACAGCTACAAGCCGCGCCTTCAGCAAACTTCTTATCCCAGTACACATTAATGCACTTCATACAGTAGCTGTGACCGCAGCCGATGGTCACGGGGTCCACCATGAGCTGAAGGCAGATAGAGCACGTGAAACGCTCCTCATTTTTTGAAGCCATCTTCTTCCTGATTAAGTCAAAGTTAGTTTCGATTTCCTAAAGGCGTGGCCTGTCAGGTCTATCCCAACACGTTTCAACAAAACATACGTGACACCACAGAGCAGGATACTGAGCTGGCGCTTTTGCAAATGCATGGAGGATTTTGCGAACTAATAAATAAAAACAAATAATTTGCAATAATGAAAACGTTCATCCCGTCAGTTCATCACACAGGCGTAATAATCCATCTGTTCGTCCCACAGTTTCTAATGACTTTATATAGACCTAGGGTTACCAGACGTCCCTATTTACCCGGGACAGTCCCAGTTTTGAGCCCTGTGTCTCCTGTCCCAGCAGATTTATCCAAAACCAGTGATTTATCCCAGTTTTATACAAGAAATGTCTCAGGTGTCCCTATTTTTGACCAATTTGATACCTGTCAACAGTGAAGAGAGGCATAAATTGTCATTTATTTAGGTAAAATACAGAAAATTTGCTTAAAAATTACCAAAACACAAAGACAATGTGATTATACTGACTCATGCTAGTCATGAATGGACCAAGTGCAGAACAATTTCCCTTAATTACGCACTCGTTTCACAATTTTATTATTACCAACCACCACAAACCCAGTTTGGAGCCAAAGCTCAGAAACGCACGAGGAGGGGGCGTAGGTTTGTTTGGTAACCATGGAGACGGAGCCCACTGGGAGAGAAAGGGAAAAAAGGCGGAGCGTTTTTCAGCCATGTCCGCATCTGTGCTGCTGAACGGACTCTCCGTACAAAATCCACAATGGAGTTACCAGAGACCCTGAGAAAACGCCTGGAAGACTTTTCTCGAAATGTTTTATTTGACCCAAACCGGAGCCCCGCCGCCACGAAAGACCCCGAGCCTTTTCTGCTAAACGGTAAAGACCGAGCAGAGGAGTTAGCACAGTTAGCACAACACAACACAGCACAGTATCTCCAGCAAATGCACTGTAACGCAACCTTTATATTGTCTATGTTGTAACCTAACTAGATCTTAAAGGGCTATTACGCTATTTTCTGATCTACTGTATATTATAATGTGGTTTCCTCATCATTAACAGACCTGGAGTTGTGTTTTGTTTCATTTAGACCTGATTAACACACAAACCTTGCATATTTCTTCTACCCTCAAACAGAAAATACTAAGGGTGTGCATTGCCATGAGTCTGGCATCATAGCAGCCACCAACTATTATTGGTGTCTACATCTCCAAAGCTCAAAATACTCTGTTCCACCTTGTGATGTCATGAAGCGGTACTTTTCAAGTTTACAGCTACTGTTTACCTTTAGTTCTGTAGAGATGAGCAATTCTAGGGCTGAAATCATCCAAATTATTCTAGTGAAGGTGTATGAAATTTAAAAACACAGTGGAGCACTTCCTCTATTACCACATTGTCATTGTTTAATAGGGTTAGGCTTTATAAGTACTTTTTACTTCAGCCTAAACCCTTTCGGTCATGATCTATGGGATTGTATTCTATGATTTGTTTTGTTTTGTAGTGCTGCAAAATGACTGAATAAAATACTACTACTACTACTACTACTACTACTACTACTACTACTACATGATACAATATATCCTGATATATCTCAGTACTAAAACAAAGGACAATATATTGCGATTTCTCAATAATTACTTCTAATAATATAGTCATGTACACCTTCACAAATTGAGTTGTTAACGATATCCAAGTCTCATGATATGATATTGTCACGGTATGAACCTCACGGTACGATATATATGGTGGGGAGGGTCATAATTCGGGATGTAACAATATCTAAATCTCTCGGTACAATATTTTCACGATATACATCTCACGGTACAATATTTATTGTGATTTTTTTCTGGAGGCTCAAGAGCTAAAACTGTTAATATGGTGCTTTTTCCTCTTAAAATGCCTTGATAAGACTTAATCCAAAGAACTAAGATTTAGAAGTGCTTAGTGTTAGGTTTGCCTAAACATTGAAGACAAGAAGAAAGACAAGAGATTAATTCAGTTTTACTCGCGAGGAGAACGGGCAGAGAGTGGGCATCAAAACCAACAGTCTCCACACGTTCTGATGCCTCAAGGCCGCTCTCCTCTTTTTATTTCATTAGGAGGCCCTAGTTACAGAATGATAATTCTCAAGGGGAAGGGGAAACAGTAAAGACATAATAAGAAACTGATGAAGCTATGCATAGTATAAACACATAAAACATGATTAACAATCAGGAGGTGCCTTAGGTATGGTCAGACACCATCATAACTCTTGCATGTGTGACAGTGGGAGTTGGCTTCATGTGAGGAATCATCTCGAGGTTCACAAGAGCGATAGGTCACTGCACACAGTTGTCAAACACAAAGAGGTTATTCATTTTCATACAAGTGATTGGTACATTATAAATCAAAGAATTGTAGTACATAAATGGTTAACTCATAGGCATAGAATATCACACAAGTATTTAGCAAATATGGGATAATAAAATTATTCTGACACTTCGAACTACTATTTCTTCTTGTAGTCTGCACTAAAATGGAGCAAAGGATCATGGTCTATGTAGGTCCCTCTGGCTTTTTTTTTTTAGCTATTGCTGCACCATAACTCTTAATTTAAACAAAGAGACTTGTAATTCGATATATTGTGATGATCCACAATATTATTCTGAGAACTCTGACGATACGATATTACGATATTTCGGTTATTGTTACATCCCTATTCACATATATTCAATATTCATATTCACACATTAAATTAAATTATTAAATCATGAGAGCAGTAAATGTAACTCTGGAATTTTTGTGAAAATATCGATTTGGACACATTTTGAATCGATCAAGGGTTGCGCAATGTAGTATCACAGTATATCACTGAATCGAACCCCTAGAAAACACTCTGTTCCACCCGTACACTGTATACATCGTCTATTTTATACATTATACAGTATATATGGTCTTCACTGTGTTTTAAAACTCCATACACTTCACTACACTCATTTGGACTAGAATAATTTGGAACATTTCAGACCTTAATCTATACTGTTAACTACCGCTTCATGACATAACAAGGTGGGACAGAGCATTTTGAGCTTTGGATGTAGACAGACTTAGACATGTGAATGAATCAAAACACAATTCTGAGTATGTTTTTGACGATGTAAAAGTGTTCTAACATGTCAAGAGTCAATTTTGCTTAACATAGGACCTTTAATATGGTTACTGTCTATTCTTTTAATATCCTTTTCTGGCTCTTTTTTCAGATGAACGGGTTCTGTCCAGTCTCCAGCTCCAAATGTCCCTGTATTTTAACATGTGGTTCTTTCCGTTTTGGTGGATCAGTGAAATTGTAATGCTGAATCTCAAGGTAATGTTCCTTTGAAAAATATTGCTATCCAATGAAGAGGAAAGAGGAATTGCTTAAACTTACTGTATCTTAATGTGATTTTTTTTTTTCAGTATCCCTCTTTGTCAGAATACTACAAGTTCATCCTGGTGACTATTCTCATTGTAATGACTTGTATTGAAGCCATTCGTCTGTATCTGGGTTACTCTGGAAACCTGCAAGAAAAGGTACAGAAGTAAAGCCTGTCATGATAACAAATTTTGGTGTGCGATATGTAAGAAAATATAGACGAGAAATGATAGTACTTAAACTAAATCATGCCTCTGACACAATAAACCAAGAGCAGATTTAAACCACAAAAACGATTCTAAATTTACGATATTGTTCTTATTGTTAAAGGTGCATTGTGTAACTTTTTTGGTGGAGAATCCGTCAGATCCTTTTCTCCTGGAGATGTTATTGCTTTTTCTGGAATGTTTCACAGTACGGCTGCTCGATTGTGGAAAAAAAATCATTCATATGATTATTTTTCAGTTACACAATGCATTTATTCAGCATTTCTCTCTCAAAAAACACTTTGTAATTGATAATTTACACAAAACTTTCAAATTGAAAATAAATATAGGCTACAGCTATGTACCTTAGAGCAGTTTTGCGATGTATAAAACATAAAATGAATAAAATATGCTTTGAACATGAAATAAGGCATAAAAAAACATAAAATAAACTATATACCCAGCTGTTCTACAATCTCTATATAAAATAAAATAAATATACTTATTTATATCAAAAATATCCCAAAATAGACTTTGTTAAGCTCATATGAGTTTGGAGATGCTTTGACACACAAATTGAAATCACGATCAAAATTAATTTAATTGCACAGCCTTATTTCACAGTACGGTATTAAACCTTTTGGTCTTCATGGAGACCAAACCAGGTGAAGTTATAGGTCAGATCTGTGGAGAGGCAATCCCACTCACAGTCAGAGGGTCTGTTTTTCTAGATAATTTTGAGCTCTAAAACCACCTGTACTTGAAAAAAAATGTAAAATAGAGCTGTTTAATGTCATACTACGGAACATTCCAAGCAAAGTAATGACATAGAAACATGCACGTGATAGACCTTCATCAATTAAGTTACACAGTGCACCTTTAAATTATGAGCTGCACAATGTAAACAGCAGAATGAAACACTTTAGTACTTAGTTTGTATCTGTAATAAGTAGGCATGTAACGATATCCAAATCTCTCCGTATGACATTATCAGGATATGCATCTCACGGTATGATATTTATTGCGATATCTTGGAGAGGCTATATAATTGTAGATCGGACACTTTTTTGCTTTTAAAATACCCTGACAAGGTTTTGGTGTGAATTATTACCATCATAATCCAAAGAATTCAAGTAAAAAACATATAACTTCATGTTGCCTGTGCTGAAATGAATCATGGGATATGTAGTTCCCAAAGTTTATAAGCTGTTGCTACTATAAAATATGCATTTAAGCGAAGGAATTTGTAATTTAATATATTGTGACAGCCCACGATATTATTGTAAGAATTTGACGATACGATATCACAATATTTCAGCTAGTAATAAGTCATAAAAGTGATTTATCCAACCTTTTATCAAAAAAATAACCCAAAATTTCCCAACTATTACAAAGAATTGAAAGAAAGAACTATTACAAACATTGTCCCAGCTTTCACAAACTCAACACTAAGTTAATATAGTAATTATCGTGTCAGGCCTTGTTCAGAAGCACAAAAATGCCTTTATAATAAGTTTATTACATTGCAAGTCTTTATTGTGTGTTTTTTGTGAAAGGTTCCAGAGTTGGCAGGTTTTTGGCTGTTGAGTATTCTGCTGCAGCTGCCCTTGATTCTCTTCCAACTTTTTAACGAAGCGATTCTAATACAACCACTGGAAAGAGGAGTTCATATAGTTCTTTCCATATTTATACTAACACAGGTAGGACACTGTTTTCTGTAGTATTTTAATTAACACTGTTCATATATTCCTCATGATTTGGATGACTGTATCTATTTTCTGCTTTTTTTGATCAAGGCTCTTGCTGGTTTCATCGCACTCCAGGACCTCGTCAGACACACGGAGAGCCAGTTTCATCTCAGACAATTCAACTGAACTATTAACCCTGCTAAATATGTTGCCTTAATGTAAATGTAGAAAATGCAGTATGTGATGTTGAGTGTATGAATTAAATTTTGTATCAGAGTTTTTTGTATGTGTGCAAAATAAAACGAAAAACTTATTTTGTTCAGGGGCAGGAGTTAATTCTATTCTAATAATGGCAACCCACTTTTAAATTGTGTTTTCCTGTTCACCTGAGTGTTTTCAAATCTTAGAAACAGATTTTTTTGACACGAGAAAGCAAAATTAGATCTAAAATAATACGAAAAACACATCCAATTACCTTTTACTTTCTATTGCAGACAGTGTACAAAAGTAAAATGAGATTAAATTAAATTCCCATAAAACCACAATGTAATGTATTCAAAGAGGATGTAACAAATGTTTAATTAAATAACATATACTTTAGATTAAATTATTTTTGTGTTATGGTGGTGCAGATTGCAATGGTCTTGAATCTGTGTTTAGTTCTGCAGTGACAGGTTTTAGGTCTTTCCTTTCAGAAATGGAAGTGCGTTTTACTTTGTCCCCTGACTGAAGACCAGAGATTTGTGAAAGTGGAAGTTCAGTTATGGTCTTTGCCGGAAGTACATTGTGCAGCGCTGTTTTGTTCCTGGAAACCTCTTTATTTTGTCTGAAACAGAAACAAGGGTTAGAAATTGTGTGCATTTCCTGAAGGAAGTTGGGTTTATGCACAAAGAAAGAAAAGACAAGAGTTTAGTGTGAAATACATGAGATATTATTTACCCTTTGTCTGTGCTCTTCTGCAAAGGCTCAAGAAAAGTTTTGGAAATCAGGTTAGGGCCTCTGAGATCTATGTAGGGTTTACATTTAAGTAGGGACAAACCTGTTGAAATATGAGACAAAGAAAAACAACAAATATCAGTGTAAATTCATTTCCACTTTGAGCTGTAATTCTGAATGGAGCAGGCAGAGGTCACTCCAACGCTGTGGAACCTGCCCTCTAAAATGTGGTGAGTAAATAAGGACCACTTAACACACAAGGCTTGAGTTTCACTGACAAAATGTATTCAAAAATAGACTTGATTACTGATTACTTGATATTTTGATTTCAATTCCTCACACCACACATTAATTCATAAAACGCTGTACATAGATACAGTAGGCAAGGCAGGTGAAAGTGTTTTGTTCAAGGACACAACAACAGTATGTAGTATGCCTGGGACCTACCCACAGAGATAAAATTTCACTTGGTATACATTTTCTAGGTAGGACAGGAGTCTCCAAACTGTAGCTCGAGAGCCACCAGTAGCTCTCCATCCTCTTTCAAGTAGCTCACCAAGGGATTTCTGAATTAACTAATTAAACAAACTAATTACTACCTAAATTTGTGCACTAATAAATGGATAAAAGTTTTGTTTTATAAGTATATCTAGCTGTTCCCCATCTAAGACTTTCCTATACTCAGTTTCTTGTAACCACTAAATAGGGAGACCAGACGTCCCTATTTACCCAGGACAGTCTCAGTTTTGAGCCCTGTGTCCCCTGTCCCATCAAATTTATACAAAACCAGTGATTTGTCCCAGTTTTATAGAAGAAATGTCCCAGGTGTCCCTATTTTTGACCAATTTCATCTAAGCCAGGACCAAATTAAGACTAAACCAGGACCACATCAGGTCTAAACCAGGACTATCACAATATTTGACTAATCAGATCCTAGCCAACAGTAAAGAAATGAAAAAAATTAAGTGTCCTAAGTCTCTCAGGTTATGTTGCACACTCTTTTTTTACAATTTTATTTATACCAAACATCTCAACCCAGGTGTGTCCCAGTTTAGAATTTTGAAAATCTGGTCGCCCTACCGCTAAAATTAGTAGTTCTTTGGTATTTTCTTTTTGTAAAGGTAGCTCACCGGAGGAAAAAGGTTGAAGACCCCTGTAATGGGAAAATACAGTTTTGCTACTACGTGCAGTTATTCACAGTTTTCATTGTGTTTTATATACTGTTTTACTGAGAGCTGCTCTCCTCATATCAGTGAGTAACTGTCCTTGCGTATGTTTTGGGGCATCATGACCCAGCACAGGTGCAGATGTTTCCTTTCTTTTGATAATACTTGTTTAGACCCTCCTATATATGTTTTGTGAGTCTGATGCTAGCTCAGACAGAGTTACAATCCTGCATTGAACAGACTTGTCCTCTGCCTCTCTTTGCAAAGATATTAAATAAACTTGTATTTTTGTCGCTTCAACGGATGTCTGTTATTTAAAAGGATAATTATCCACGACACCCCTGATTAAGGATTTAATGAATTAACAGTCTTTTATGCTGGTATTTTACATTTTAAAAAGAAGACAAGTCCTGCCCATTTAGATGAACACATTTTCCCCTGTCATATTGATGCTGAAGCTTTAGCTTTGACTCACCTTCTTCCAGCTGCTCCTGTTGTGTTCTTTCTCTCACAGCGGTTTGGGAGATGGTCTTTCTCTCATGTACAGCTGGATCTTTATAGATGTGGTTGAGCTTTACTCCGGATAAACTTGTCAGCAGTCCTCTATCGGGAATATTGGGAACCATCCTGAAGATTAATCCTCTGGCAGCCCTTCAGACACAACCACATGAAACCACAGTGATGCTAATGTAAACGGTAGTTTTCAGATTCTAGGATGTGATGATGAGGTGCAAGGGCCAGATTTTCCTATTGATAGCATTGTACTTTACCAGGAAATATCCAAAAGGTTCCACAAACTGCTGTACCTGGTATTTTCAATGATTATCGAAACCCAAGAACTCACAGTATACATCATTGTGCATTTTAACTTAAATTTTTTACCTGTCTGGTACTGGTATAGTAGACAGTCCTGAAACAAATGACAGCATTAGAAAACAATACTTTTTAAAAATAATTTGTCTTCATTTTGTAACAGACCTCTGGCAACTTTATAGGTAACTAAACGCTGTCGGGGTATCGGGTAATGCTGCTGGATGCTTGGTCTAAAATCAGTTTGTGGCGGAAGAATGGCGCTTAGATGGAAAAATTGTGAAGAGCTCCTCCATTGGCCAATTTCTTTCACAAAAAACAAAGCAAGTTCAGAATACGAAATGTCAGAATGTGTGTTAGAGGCCCAATATTACGCTGAGAGCATTTTGAGCTTTTGAGATGTAGACAGACTAATAATAAAAGGTCGCTCAAATGTGTGAACAACATGAACAAATCACAACTCCAGATATGTTTTTGAGGAGTTAACAACATTTAAACATGCTTTAAAGCTCACAAGAGTCAATTCTGTGTAATATAGGACCTTTAAAGCTTGTTTTTTGTGCTTTTTTTTCATTTCTTACCCGTGACTGTTGAACATGTGTTGAGATGGGGACAACTTCTTTTCTCATATGCACATGAAACCTTTACGTTATCCAAACAGTCATTCTAAAATAAATAAATGTATAAAAATGCTTCATAAATTATAACAAACATTCACTTTTGGTTAATTCGTACCGTTACAGGTTTTGAGCCCTGCCACAGAGTCACCTGGCTTATTTCGCCTGGGTGAGTGTTTGCAGGAGGGGTAACAGCTTTTCTCGAAGGCTGAAGCAAAAATATGTGATTAACAAAATAAATCAAAAGTGTAAAATAGCCCACCTCACTTTTCCTTTACTACCGTTTTAATACTTACATGGTTACTCTTTTTGTCCCTGATTACAAGTTTTGCTTTGGTTGTATTCTCAAGTAGCTGGCTGGAGACCTGTAGAACCAATAATCCCAGTAAAACACTGTGGTACATAAGAGAATGACAGTGTATGTTGAAAACTATTTGTACCAGATCTTTGCTGTCACTCTCCTGGACCTTTGGCTCTGAACGCAATCTGTCCCTTTCCTTACGACTCTTCAAACATTTCTTCCTCTCCTTTAGAACACTCTGCAGCGCAAAAGAGGTACGTTTTACATAAGAACAAAATATCATATGAATATTTAAATACCTTTTGGACACTAGCGTTCGGTCGGTTAAGTAAATGCACTGGGGGTCCATCTGAATCAGTGCTATTAGATCCACTGGTGCTAAAAAAGAAATGTATTACTGTTTAGTTAAAAATCTGAATACACTATATCAGATGAACAAACATGCATTGGGTAGAATAGAGTTAAGAGGGGGTACGAAAGGTAGATTATGGTATATCCAGGTATAAATACCTGGTTTCGAGGTCAGAAACGGTCAAGTTTGAATCCGTCAAATCTTTTCCCAGTCTCTCTTTCACCTGTTTGACCAACTGTGCCGCCAGCTCTGTCAAGCAATAATTGGCCTGAGAAAACGACACAGTCAGCAAGGATCTGAACTAAAAGCGGTTATTGTAAAATGAGATGAGACGCTTCACCTTGGAGGGGTCAGGATCACAGAAGTCCAGTAAAGTGTCACAGAAGTTAAAGCCTAGTGTCTTGAGGTCTCGAGTGCTGAAATGCGTTCCTCTTCTGTCTCCTGTCCAGAGAAAGGGAGCTGGATCTGAGTGTCTCCCTCCAGTGTCAATCTAATACTGTGTTTGGAAAAGTTAAACTGACCCAAAGTGGAGCCCCCAAAGGTAGCCTCCAGGGTGTAGCTGTTTCGGATTCCAAGTCTCCACATGACGATGCGTCCAGTTCCCTCTTTGCTTTTCTGGACCCGGAACTTGCAGCTTTTAAAAGAAAACTGAGCATCAAAGTTAAAGTTGTGCGTGAAACAGTACCACTATATTTATTCACTTACACTGGTAAAATTAAAATCGGTCATTACCTTGTTACTGGCATTTTTACTCATCATTAGGGGAAAAACTCTCTCATTAAGATTTGTTGAAGCGTCACTTCTGCTGTTACATCCGTACATAAAAACATTGTTTTTACGGTTGTGGCCGTGAAAGTCACAGTAAAGGATGACATCAGTCTCCGTCAGAAGTCTGAAGAGAAAAATATTAGGAATAATAAAAAACTTGTATTATTGTATTATTGACACCTCTACACTATATGTGACAGTTTCTTACTTCTCCACCATCCTTCGAGTGTGCCAGACACAGGGGAAAGCATCCTTGAGTATCGTTTTGTAATTTCTATTCAAGTCTCTACCTGCCAGAGAACAGCGGTAATTGCCCACAATGACACCATCTGGGTTAAGCATTGGCACAATCTTTGAGGGCATTGAAAAAAATTAGAAGCCAAATCTTAATAGAAACACCAAGTATTTACAATAACATAAATCCCTCACCTTAAAAACAAAGGTATCTCTCAATAACTGAGCATCTGCTGAGTTACCAAGCAGAAAGTCCAGGAATCCCTCCATCATCCAGGACCCGTTTGTCTCCCCTGGGTGCACTCGCGCTGTCACCACCACTGTTCTTTTGGCTGTTCCTTCACTCTTACTCTCCCCCTGAGACGTGATTGTCATCGCATACACGGCGTTCCCTGCAAGGCTGTGACAAAGGATCCGGAGCTTACAGTAGGAGGCAACGCTCTCATTGGATGAAACCCGCTGCAGGTAGTTTTGAAGCCGAGAATATGTGTAGGGGTAACAGTGGGACACAAAACAGGTGTCTGATTCGAAAGGGAACTGGAGACTCCAGGTGAGGCAGTACAGGGCTTTGGTGTCGCTCTCATTTGTATTCTGAGAAATGTAATGAATGCATAAAAAATCTCAAAGGTTTGGCAAATATGGCAAGTGAACCCAACCCTAACTCTATTCAAATTGCAACAACAAAAATATTCATGCGAAAACATTCTCCTTTTAGGCTTCACCATGTGTGTACTTCACCCACCTGACTGCAGTTGCGGTAATATCTGATGTTGAAGCCAGTCCTTTGCCATCCGACCCCATTCTCTTTTGCAGCTCTTTCAGAATACAGGAGCGGCTTCATGCCATAATTGTACAGGCTGTTGCTCTTCATCAGGTTTACGATGGTGAAGCGGTACTTGGCCCCAGCCTTCATGTTTCTGACTCTAAAGTAAAACCACTGTGTGTGTTTTTTGGTGTACAGGTCACAGCGGATGGTCAGCTCATAGTCAAATGGGCCCCTAAACAAAAAAGAGCATTATGAATTAATTAGAAACTGTGCTTGGCGTAAATGATGAAACTCACACTTGAACAGCCCTCTGGAGGTTTCCACTTTCAAAACGGGACTCAAATTCAAGAACATGATCAGTTTTTTTAATTTCAAAACAAGTTGCGTTCTTCTTGGGGGCTGGGCTTCCCCCAACACGTGAGCAGGTAAAAAACGGATGCTTAGTTGCTAGACAAAAAAAGTAAATTAATAAAAAATTAAATCCATTTAAATGAATAAATCTATATTTAAATCTACAAACATTCATAAAAAGTTATCTCACCATGACCCACGCTGTACACCACTTTCCCATTCTCTTCTCCACTTGGCTGAGGCATTCTCTCACTGCCTGTGTATTGGTAAAAAGGTTCAGGCTGTGGGGGGTCCCATTCTAAAAAGCAATAAAAGACATGTGTAAATGCAATATAGTGATTATAGTCTTAAACATATTGATGTACCTATATGATGAATGACGTCTTCAATGACTTCACACTCTATGGGCCAGCGGGGACAGACAATAGACGGGAAGTGAACCAAATCCAGCGGAGCTCTGAGACTCAAAATAGGTCGGTTTCCATCAAAGTTTATAATGAGCTGTCTCGTCTTCAGAGCCTGGTTTAGGTCCATGGACACTAAATCAAATCGAATATTCCTTTATTAACACAGAGCAGCACTAAATGTTTCATCATCACTGAATAACACAGGGAGTGTTGTTCATTTAAAGCCGATTATCCAGCCACAGACTGTTTGTAAACAAAAGAGCTTCTTTAATATATTATGACCCTGCAGTGGAGATTCCTCAGTTACAATGTGTATAGTGCTCTTTTACCTAAAGGTGCACTATGGAACTTTTACGGTGAAGGGTCCACCACTGACTTTGCCTGTAATGTTCCACAGTATAATATTAAGTTAACCTATTATGCAACAGTATTTTAGTAATGATAAAAATAAATAAAGATGCACTCTAACTGTGAGCCTTTTCACAAATCTGACCTGTAGCTTGGTCTGACGATGGAACCAGTTTCTCTTCATAGAAATAGATTTGATTAATGCCATACTGTGGAACACATTAGGCAAAGCTATATTATTACATCTCCACAGGAACAAACACACAAAGCCCAAATAATAAAGTACATAGTAGTCCTACAGCTCACTCATATATAATGGATAGCCCTATGTCCTGTCAATAATCATATAATTGTTGCATTTTCTTCCTATGACCGCTGAGATTTTATATTTTATTATTTATCTTTCTATTTTAGTTTGACTTGTACATACACATTTACATAATTAATTGCCTTATGTGACACCTGTCTCTTGCTATCTTTTTTGCTACTTATTTAGAATTTATTATTACCATTTATATATTTTTTCGCTTTGTTATTATATTATATTGTGATGTGTGAGCTACGGTGTCCAAATAATTTCCCTTGTGGATCAATAAAGTACCTTTAAATCTAAGTCGAAGTCCACATTGTACATTCTATTGGGAGCACATAAATCCAAATGATGTCAAACTTTTCTTACGTGGTCTTCTCCCAGTTTCTTCCTCCTCTTCTTCCTCGGTGTTGGAGTCATTGGAGGTCAGTCTCTCCATTTGGTAGGAATTCCACCAGTTTCTGATCAAAGATGAGGCCATAACACAACAGGCTCCTTCACTCGTGTAAACAGGGATGATTCATATTGTCACTATTTACGCCTGTGGAAAGTGACATTATTTACAGTTCAACCGCAAATACTTAATTATTTCACAACTATCAGAAACCAAAATGTAAGATAGCTAAAGAAATAACTAAAACTATCTAAGCTGTTGTTTTCACACAACAAGGATAGCTTCATTTGTTAGCCAAGTTAGCTAAACAGTGAGTTTTTAACATGATTATTACTTTTTTCGTAGCTCTTACTGCAGTTCGGTTTAACACGTAACATTTAGCTTTAAGAACATTTAAATAAAAGATTACAGGTTTACTTACACATGAATCAGACTCCACAAAACCCTCACATGTGCAAACTCTTCAGGAACCAACCACCACCAGCCGTTACCTAGCAACCATAACACCCCGGGGAAACCACACTTGCCCTTTTACGGAACATTATCACGGATATTTCATATTTCTATCCTGTTTTATTAAAATCTCAACTATTCTCATGATCATTGGGACCTCTATTTCCCCAATTAGCATGTCAAAGTCAAATGCTGAACCTCGTCGTTACAAATAAACAAAATTCACATTTTAGAAATCTGACTCTGCATTTAAAATACACTACCAGCCAAAAGTTTGGACACACCATCCCATTCAATATATTTTTTTATTTTTATTATTTTCTAAATTGTATATACATTACACACAGCAGACATAAATATATTAAGTAAGAATTATAAAAAGTTAAATAAGTCTACTTTTCAAAAATATGTATATTTCATATTCGAATCCTCAAAGTAGTCACCTTTTGTTGTTATTTCACTTTTTTCCTTTACTACAAAATTCTTCTGTATGTATATAAAAGATAGAAAGCAGTAAATAAAGAAAAAAAAATTAATGAGATGGTATGTCCAAACTTTTGACTGATAGTGTAAATATTATAGACCCCTTGAATGTGGTGTCAATTACCATAGAATGTTGATTTTTCATTATTTTCTTGTCTAACCCTAAGCAGTCAGATACCTGTGTAGATAGGATTTGGCTATATAGACCATAAATATGACTCTTCTTTTATACAGTCTATGATTTGGCCTGTGTAAGCCCTTAGCAGGAGTCTCCAACCTGTAGCTCAGAAGATACTGGTAACTTGCTAAGGGATTTCTGAATTACATGTATTGTCCTGAATATGTAAAATTTTATTGATTAAATGCCTATTACCATTATACATGTTTTTTTTTGCTACCTGACTAATAAATGGATAATGGTTTGTTTTACAAGTATCTAACTGTACCTCATTTAAGGCTTGCCGCGGCACTTTATTATACTCCATTTCTTGTGACCTCTAAAATTAGTAGCGTTTTGGAAAGGTAGCTCTCCAAAGGAAAAAGGTTGGAGACCCCTGCCTTAGAGAATGTCAAAATGTACCTGCAAACAGAACAGGTGATTATAGTTTTTTAAAGTGCCATCATTTAGAGAGGAACGCACATCACCATATGTTAAAAAGCAAAATTTGGAAAAACACGTTTAATAACATTTTAAATACAAAAATGTACATATAATGTTCCCTCACATTCCATAACATTGTTTATAATCACAAAATGATACAGATATATACACAGTTGAAAAAGTGTCCCCGAAAATACACAAATGTCTCTGGAGTTTGGTGATAAGTTGATGTAATGAGCAGTACATGACGATGATCTTATGGCACAACAATCTTAACTTCTCAAACAAACATTCAGCCACAACAGGTCCTAGTGGGAATTGATCTCATGGCCAAGGAGATAATGCATCTTTAGTTTAAATAGATGTTAACTTAATAAGGCAGACACGTTGGATTAAGTGTTATGTACTGTTCATCATCTTCCGTTTTTTTATTCGTTCCCGCCAGTTGTCTGGAATAGCTTCAAAGTTGGCATTTTTCGAAGCCTTGCCCCTAAAATAAAAAGAACACAGTACATAATTAATAAAAAATAAATAAACACATCTTAATGACTGAGGTATGGCTGGACAAAGTGGTGCCGTACGTCATTAGCTGCTGATACTTCCATTCTTCTATACTTTTCTTGTTGAGCAGGTCTCGGTCTTCATCACTGGAGCTGCTTTTCTCCTCCTCATCGAGTTCTTTCTGTATACTCTGCCACTTTTTCACCAAAGATGGCATTTTGGTTTTTACTTTCTTTGACTGCAGAGAGAAGGAGAAAAAGATGCAATAATTTCTGCAATAGCGTTTTAAAGACAGACTTCGACAGTGGACATTACCTTAGTTTTGGTCTTTTTGATTTTCTCTGTGGGTTTGGGTGGAGGAGGTTCTGAGGGGGGTTGGGGTGGGGGCAGTGGTGGCAGTGGAGGCTGTGGTGGCATAGGCGGTTCAGAAGGCACTAGAGGAACAGCTGGCACACCCCAATAAGCAGTCACTGGCATTATGGGAGCTGTAGAGAAGAAGAAATAATTTTGAACTTGACTACTCTAAAGGCATGAATGAAATTAGAAATAAAAAGGTAAAAGTTACTCAAAACAGTTCTGTTTAGATGGGCATATGTCTGAAAGGTTTTCATTTTTCATTCTGCACTCTTCTCTCTCATTTAATGTCTCTCTCCTGTTAATTTTATGTTGATTATTTATGCTTTGATTTGTTTGTATTGTGATTTAATGTATTATTCTGTAAAGCACTTTGAATAACTTTGTGTACAAATTGTGCTATACCGACTTGCCTTGCTTACTCTTTGAAATAGGGAGCGAACTCTCCATCTGACAAGTTACAGACGTTTTTGCCTAGAATATCCCACCGTATGGCAGGCCCAGGCCAAGTTCCAGGTGATGCCATACAGTGAAACATTGCAAAACAATAAGATCTACATCAGGGGTGTCCAAGCTTTTTTAACCAAGGGCCATCTTGAAGCATATTCAAAGCAGAGGGCCAAAGAGCAGAAGCCAGGCTGGCGCCACCTTGTGCCTCTGCTCAATTTCATTTTTCTCCAGTGACTAGGTCAGGAATCAGAATACACTGTTTGCAAAAACCCCGGAAGTTGTAGACCGCGCACCGGCCAATAAGCGAAGAGCTGTGAAGCCATGACGTTAAACTCAAGCGTCTGTCTGGGTCCCTTTTGTGGTACAGCACAACAGTAACAAAGTGGTCGAGATGGATGTAGACGGAGACATACATTCTGTGTTGTCAACGATTCCTGAGATTGAGGATTTAAAGCTGGAACAAAGAGGATGTTCGATGAATTTATCAAGGGGAAGACGTTACTGCCGTTCTTCCAATGGGATTTGGCACATTACATATGTCATGACAAAATAGCAGTGACTGTTGAAATAAAAAAACGACCTGTCTACCATCAAGTAAACAAATCCTAATGCTGCGAGGTCAGTTTGTTTCCACGAAGTGAAACCGGCTGATGAACCAGGGTAAAAGAGCGGGGGTTTATACAGAGGATAATCGAAATGGGTGCATTTTACATAGTTTTGACAGAGCCACCATATCTTTAATAAAGCTTGAAAACAGACATTTTGTATCACAGTGCAATGAGATGCGATTGAGGTTTCAGTGGCAGACTTACTAAAATGTGGTGTCAAAATTAAAGCCTCTGATCACGGTCATATCAGCAGGAGGCCTGAGGGCCATTAAATGTTGGTCTGAGGGCCAGTTTGGACACCCTTGATCTACATAGACGATCACTAAAGTGACATAGTGCATTTTTAATGGTTTTAAATCCATGCTGTAAACGTACCTGCACTTGCAATAGGCTGAGTGTAACGAATGGGATTACTTCCAATCGTAACAGTTTTACTCGACTGGCCAGCTTTGCGTTTGAGAGTCCTCCCAAAGGCACTTGACTCTACAACCTATTTAAACAAAAAGAAATAAAATACATGAGTGCATTTTGCGCTTAGTCCAAAACTAAAACAGTACAACTTCTTCAGTACCCGTGTGTTGGTGATGCCCGGTGGTAGAGGAGGCCCATTGTCCTCTTCTGTGCCAGGGGCTGGAGGTTCCCCGTCATCGTCATCCATCTCCATTTCCACCTCCATGATCTCTGAGTCGCTGTCGGGCAGAGGGGGGGGCGTGGGTGGAGAGTCTGGGGGCAGTGGTGGGGGCGGAGAACTGCTGAAGAGGGGGGGCGGTGGGCTACTTGGAAGAGGAGGCTGGGATGAGGTCCACTGTGTGCTGGGTTTAGCAGCAGATGATCCTGTTTACAGACAAAAGCTTCAAGTTTAGTTACAAAAGTAAAACTCAACAGATAAAGGAGATATATTACACAGAATGGACTTTTATGAGCTTTACACCATGTTAGAATGATGTAATGCTCTTAAAAACATACCAGGAGGTGTATTTTGTTAAGTCACACATGTTTGAGTAATTGTGGTTTATTAGTTTGTCTATGTCTTTAAAGCTCCAAATGCTCTGCTCCACCTTGTGATGTCATATGGTGGTAGTTTCCAAGTTAACAGTTACCCTTTACCTTTTGTTCTGTTGAGATTGGCAATTCCAGGGCTGAAATCACCCAAATGATTCCAGTGAAGTTCACTTTGGCTTTTGACAGATTTTGAGATGTTAACATTTAATTAGACTGTATTTATTAAATTCTGTTTTTAGTCATATGTTGTTTTAGTGTTTTTATTGTTTTTTAAAATTATTTAATTATGTTCTGTAGCACTTTTTAAAGTGCATTATAAATAATGTTGCAGTTGCAGTAGTGATGGTGTACGGGGTTTAAAAAACACAGAACTTTTCCACATCACAAGGTGGCACAGAGCATTTTCAGTTTGAGAACGGAACTCTAAATAGAGTCTAAGAGTTTAAATACGCAGGGTTTGTGTGTTAAACATGTGTGAATGAAACAAAAACACAACTCCAGCTGTGTTTGTGATGAGGAAACAACATAAATCAGAAAATAATGTAATATGGGCCCCTAAAAATAGTAACTTGTGTGTCCTATTGTTGCCTGAAGTGTGAAGACTGACCTCCTTTGGCATCCTCTCCCTTGTCCTCCTCTGTTGGAAAGTCCCACTGTGATGCACCCGTCCGCTCGTTCAGATAAAAATACCGCCTGTGTTCTCTAGAGTGGGACAACAGAGATAAAAGGGAAAGGTCTTAGAAACTGAAATCACAACTGATTGAATGGCATGATACCTTGGGATGTTTAGATGGAGACAAATAGCCAAAAGCCAAAAAAAGTTCAACTTTTGCCTCCAAGATGGATTATCTAAGCAATGTACTTTATTGCTTTCACCAAACATATCTGGTTTACCAAAGAAAAGGGCCTGAAAGTATTTAAAAACCCCTTCATATCACGGTTGCCCCCAGCTTTTGGGCAACTACTTTTTCCAGGAGAAGAAGAAAGAACAGTGAATAACAAAATAAATCACACAGATCACACATTACCATAATAAAGCATTTGTTGAATCGTATAAAACATGAAAGAGATGGTCTGACCTGCTGGGATCCCGTCATAGCTCCATCTTCACCTTTTATTTGTTCCATCAGACTGGTTGTTTCCTCGGTATCGTTCTGTGTGCAGCGCAATCTGGGGCTGAAGTCCTGTAAAATGCAAAGCGCTCCCAGGCCACCAGCCTTCCTAGTATAACCCCTCCCTTTTACCAAGATGTCTACTGGAACCAGAATGAGTCTACAAACGCCTTCTTAAAGTCTGTTCTAGGGAGCTCCCATCTGTGACATGCATTTATCAAAATGCAGGCTGGCCCAAACTGGATGCCCAAATATTTGTAGGTCAAACTGCCCGGACTACATCAAACGTGATGTAGTTTTCTGATTTGCTTTTGATCCGTTCAGACTTGTTAAGCTTCTCCCCAAGTCATGTAAAAGTCATCAGTTTCTGCAGTGAAGCAGCTGTAGTCACAGGTAAGACTTTGGGGACGAGGGGGTTAAAGGTGTGAAAGGTAAGGAGCGCGTACCTGTCCCAGTGGCAGGACCAGCCTTTAGGTGTGGCGTTAAGTTCGTAATATTTTATGTGTTCGGCAGCTTCTTGCAGCCTGCGCCGGAGATACATCCCATTCAGAGCACCCTCCCTCCAGTCAGCGATCCTAGTCTGTGAAAGTCAGAGGAAAAACAAAAGAAATACAGCATGAAGGCACTGATAATGTAAAAATGAACCACAGAAATAATTTATTAAAGGTCCTTTATTACGCAAAATTGACTCTTGTGAGTAAGATTGGTAGGTAAGGTTGTTACCTCATCAAAAATATACATGGAGTTGTTTTTTGTTTCCCCTCACACATATCTGAGTAACTCTTTATTAATAGACCGTCTACTTCTGCAAAGCTCAAAATGCTCTGTTATACCTTGTGGTGTAATGAAGTGGTAGTTTTCAAGTTAACAGCTCCTTTTATTTTTAGTTCAGTAGAGAATGATAATTCTGGGGCTAAAATCATCCAGATAAATAAATTATTAATTATTATTTGGATTTAAAAACACAACAGGGCACTTCTTGTCTTACCACATGATAAACACAACTCCACGTATGTTTTTGATGATGAACCAACATTATAACAGATCAGAAAATTTTGGATATTTAGAATATTTTCAGATATATAATCTGAAATACACAGTTATACGATATCTTCTTACCTCTGTTTGCAGAAGAAGAAGTTGAAAATTTGAGATAGTTTTCTTATTTATCCCTAGAAACTCCATCTTGCTGGTTAAGGTGTTGGCAAGTTCTCCTATCTGAAACTATAATAACTCTGTATGAACATTCAGTCCAATAGACCTGCGTACATGCTATTGTAATTTTCTGAAATATATTATTTTTCAACCTTGAGCTCTGGTGTTTCCACTTCTTCTTTAGTTGGATTTTCGGCATCATTGTCCTCAGGATTGTTAGTCTCCATTTCTTTCTCTTCTCCCTGCACAGCACCATCAACGACTTTTGATGGAGATGAAAGACAAATAGGAAGCTTACATCATGTTGTGTAATAAATCATAGTATTAAAACCATTTTATGCAACTGACACAATGAAAATGAAGCAGGATAATCCCAGTAATAAATTTTTAAATAGACAGTATTATTAAAAAGCAATGACACTGTATAAAGAAGTGGACTAAGGGAATGTGATGTCACCCATCGTGTTCAGCTCCAGTCAAATGAATCTCATTGAGGCTAGCAGAGTTCCATATTCGAAATAGGAATTCATTTATGGACAAAATGTCAAAATAAAAACACTAGGATCTCGTAGAGCAAGATGATACGAACATTTCAATTAAATTCTCTACAGCTCAAATCTTATTGTATCACAACTAAAATAACAACTCCCCACTTTTGCAAAGAAAATATACCTAAGATAAATACTGAGCTCCAAAATGTATTGTTCCAGCTTTCATATTTTGAACTGTAAGTCAGTGTAGTAATTATTGTAACAGGCCTATATGTGATTTATTAATACTTCAGCTCAAACTGTGGATACCTGTGTCTGTGCTTTCTGGTGCGTTAGAGCTTCTGCTGTTGGCGTCTGGGCTGAGAGCAGCAGGGAAGACGGTTTTCCATCGTTTCTTTTTGAACAAAGTGCTCCCAGAGTTTGTGGCATCTTGACTGGCCTCAGAACAAGGACTAGAACCACCAGCGCTTCCATCGCCATCTTCAAGGGCTCTCAATTCAGCCTGAGAATGATACATTATAATCATTTAACAATAATTGACTATTGACTCTTTAAAATGTGTAAATAAAACCTTCTGAAATTCTGTAAAGGAGGCAGCTGGAGGCATATGTGAAGTGGAACATAATGTTATTTTAAAGAGAAAACTGAAGTTAACTTTAGAATATTGCAACATACGAAAAATCCAAGGAAATTTGGCAAATGAAAACCACTTGGATACATGTAAGCGATATCAGAGCCCACTTTAAAAACATTTACACTTATGTTTTATCTTATTTTTTTTATTTAAGAAGGGACTGCGATTAAACACAACATTTTTGACAAAGGAAAAAAATCCAGATTTTAAGGTTTTACTAGACAAGTCCTCACAGAAAAGTTGTATTTGTAATTGTATTTTTCCATACTTCTTAACAGAGATGCAAATAAACTAATATCGCTACCTTGGAAATTCAAAATTGTAGTTTATTTTTGTTATAATGTTGTAAAACCATTACCATTTAGATCTGTCATTATGTCTGCTTCACTTTGCCTCCAGTTGCCTCCATTACATAACTTTGAACATTCTGATGACATAAGAGTTTAAAGGATTTATAGACTCACTTTTTTTCGCTCAAGGGCCAACTCCAGCTCCACGGTATCCTCCTCGGGCCCTTCAGCGTCTGAGTTATCTGTCGACTGTTTCTTGACTGACACGTCTTTCTCACTGAGAGCAGAGTCTTGGTCCAGTAATGGCGCAGAAGGCGAGTCTATAGAACGTGCACCTTCTCCATCAGAATCCAAAGACTGTTCCGTCTCATCTAAACCTTTAAGAAGTCTCTTTCTCCACTTTTCCTCTGCCTCTTTTACTTCAGAGGGAATTAAAGGACCTAAAAGAGAAGCAGCAACTCCACAACGCTCTTCCTCTTCATTGGCAAGGGCCACAACACTTTCAATAACTTCTTTCTGTAAAATAAAAATTACAATTTGAACATCTACATGAAAACTCAGTATAATTATTAAAACATTTAAAACCAATCCTACCTGCACTTTAGTCTCTATCAACGTAGTGTCTTTAGTGGCTGTTTCCTCCATATGGTGATCATCATTAACTGTGCCGTTACCATTGACATCAGAGCTACGAGAAAAACAAAAAAACAAGAAAAGTTTAAAGAAGACCTATTGTGCTTGAGCCTGCTATACAGCAATAATCAATGACACTCATGACTCATTATGTAATAGTTTGCAAATTTTAAACTACAATGTTAATCTAAAACAACTTAAGAAAAGAAACAAATCCCTTGACTTTGCGTTAGAAAAATGTGGTACCCAATGGGAGGGAGCTGGCATCGCTGGAAACGTCATCACAACAAAAAGTAGACAGCTTCAGTGGATAAAACTGCACATCACACTAGGGAGCCATACATTTTTTTCTCATTTGTAACAAAATGACTATGCAACGCTGCAAAATTCTGCATGTAACATGCACAAATTACTCCAAATACAACAACTTCGGGTGCGTAAATGGTGAGAGGAAACAACTCTAACTCTAAAAAGTCGATCTGGGTAATAGGTCTGATTTAAAAATAATACTACATTTGCAGGCTCCATATATCACATCCAAAATAGTCATGTTAGATTTACCTGGCTGTATGTTTTCCAAGACTTTGAACTTGATCAGCCAAGTAATGAGGCAACTCCCAAGACACTTCATTTGTCACGGTGTTCCAATAGTAGTAACAGCCAGAGTTGTCGTCCCATACCTCTTGCCAGTCTCCCATTTCAACTCCCACTGTAAACAGTAAATCATTTCAGTGTGCAAACATGTCAGTTGGTGACAGCTGGCATTCAGAAATATTCTAGCGCTAGGAATAAGATAAAGGAAATTACCTCCAGCTAACGAGTCCTGAGTATTGTATTCAAAAGCAGCATCTGTACTTGGTTGTGCTTCTGTACCATCAGCTTTCTGAGTACTATTCTCAGTTGGTGGTGTTGATGTCCCACCCTCTGCGGTTGGCTGGGTCGTTATTGCGTCGATTTCCTGTGAAAATACATTACAATTTAAAGGGCCCATATCACGCCATTTTGTTCTCTATGTTAAAATGTTGTTTCCTCATCAAGTTTTATTTCATTCACACATGTTTTACACACAAGTCTTGAATATTCATGCCGAGTTCTTCTCTCAAATGGAAAATACTGTTCCATTTTGTGATGTAATGTGGAAATACAGGAAGCGCTCTACTGTGTTTTTAAACTCCATACACCTTCACTAGAATCACGTGGATGATTTCAGCCCTGGATTTGTAAATCTCTACTGAACTAAAGGGTAAAAGCTTGAAACACCTGCAACTGAAACTGAAACTACGTGGAACAGACCATTTTAATCTTTGTAGATGTAGAGAGACTAATAATAAAGGGTTTCTCAAACATGTGTGAAAGAAACCAAGCACAAGTTTTTAACATAGCTAAAAGCTCAAGAGTCAATTTTACATAATATTAGGACCTTTAAAGTAAGATTATTTACAAACTGTCTAAAACTTGTACTTCTCTACTATTCAATCCACTTTACTTATATAGCACATTACATATACAAGTAGTTCCCAAAATGCTGCACAAAAACATAGTAATAACAACAATAATAATAAAATATAAAATATACTAAAAAAAATAAAATAAATGCTCAGATTTTATCATACTAGTCTTGAAACAATAAAACCAGTAAAATAAAATAAGAGCAAACCCAAAGAATAGCAATAAATAAATAAAACTAATAAAATAATACAAAATAAAAAGACACAGGACCATACAACTCATGTAGTGTTAAAAGCCAGAGAATAAAAGTGGGTCTACTGATATTTTGTGATACATTTTGATACTGCATACATATTCGTATAGATTATTGTACTTACAGCCATAAAATCCGCCAAAGTACTGTCAATGTCCGCAGACTGGTTGTGTTGAGAAGTCACAGGGGCCCGTTCTACAGCATCATCGTCATCGCTGTCCTCATACGCACCGAGCAAAGACAAACCCTCTGTGCACAGCAACACACATGATTAGGGCGACTAGACATCCCTATTTACCTGGGACAGTCCCAGTTTTGAGCCCTGAGTTCCCTGTCTCAGCTGATTTATCCAAAACCATTGATTAGTCCCAGTTTTATACAAGAAATGTCCCAGGTCTATTTTCGACCAAAAAAAACCATAAAGCGAGGCATAAATTGTCCTTTGTTTAAGTAATATACAGAAAAGCTGCTTAAAAATGACCAAAACATTGTGAAAATTTGACTATACTGACTCATATAAGTCATGAATGGTCTCTGTATAACAATTTCCCTTATTAACGCGCTTATTTCACAATTTTATTATTACCAACCACCACAAACAGAGGATGTCCCACCCAGTTTTTGTTTTTGAAAGTCTGATCACCCTAGACATGATTCAAAACAGCAAAAACACGTGACAGGAGGGGGGTCTTATCCACAGACGTGTATGTACCTGTGGCCCTGACCGCGGGGGCCTTTGTTTTGGAGTGTCTGTCTCGTGGGAACTTGGGCGCATCCCCGTCTTGTTCATCTGCAAAGAGAAACTGCGTTAAAATACTTGTGTGCGTTATTAAAATCCACCTAAAACAAAAACACATGCTTGAATGAAGGGATGCAGGTATTATTCATATTGCACACAAACTACATGGTCATTTCAGCCGATGCGGGGTTAGCTTTTTATAGCCACCATGCGCTAAGGAGAAGCTAAATCTTTACCTTCGGATCCCGAGTGCGCTTCGCCGGTGCTCACACCTCGAGAACCGGGCGGTGAAAGTTGTAATATAGTCCTCCGACCGGCTGCTCCACCGGTAAAACGATTCTTCTTCCCCATTATTATGAATCAGACGGCCTGGTGTGGAGCCGTCACAGTAGCAACGGCTGCGTTTAGCCTTAGCCGCAGCCACAAAGAGCGTTAATAAACTTCCGAGTCGCGCTGTCACGTGGTCATGTTCTATCAGCGTTTTTTTTTTTTTTTTTTTTTTTTTTTTTTAATACTTCAAATCTCAGATACAAACAAAAAGGCACCATACAAAGATCACATCCAAACCTAGTAAGAAAAAAACAACAACACAGTTGTGAAGAAAAATAAAAACAAAAATACATTCATGAACCAACTATGGGGGTAAATTCTAACGCATGTAAACAAATTGCCATCATTCAAAAAAGATACAAGAAACCTGGCTTCTCTTTTTTCAGTCAGGCTCAATTCTTTGGTCATTACTAAAGTACGTTATATTTGGTTTTGCCTTAAAACATCGACATTTGTGAAAACAAAAATTACCTAAGATTAATAAATTATTAATTCCAAATTCCTTCCTTTTATCTTCTCTTAATGCACCAAATTTAATTTCTTTCATTGTTAGGGGGGCAAATTTAATTCCCCTGTACTGAAGCAACAAATGAAAATCAAACCAAAATTGTTGTACCAAACTACATGAAAAGAAAAGATGTTCCAAGTCTTCTTCCCCTGTGACACAGAACACACATTTACCTGTTTCAAATTAGAATTTTTGTTTTAGGAATTCATTGGTTAGATAATATTATTCAAAATTTTAAACTGTATCTCCTTTACTTTAGGGGGAACCATATCATCATTATTATTATTTTATTATTTATTTATGCCTCATCTCTTTTATTATTGTAAATACTCAAAGGAACTCTGGTCAAATCTAGAAACACTTATCCTGCAAAAAACATCCATCAGAATTCATTTGGACTGCTCAAACATAATAACACTTCCATCATAACCAATATAAAATTTTATATTTAGTAAACCTGTGCATTCTGTTGGGAAAATTTCATATTCACAATTCCAAATTCTCCAATTCCAGACCTTATAGATCCATGTTCCAGACTCCCATTTAAAATAAAAATAAAATATATAAAAAATATGTAAAAAAAAAAAATAAAATAAAAAATAAATAAAATTAATATTAAAAAATATAATAATTATTTATCATCCTTTACTTCACCCTGTCAATGGCATTAGATTTATTTTTATTATTGCCCAACTTGTGTCTTGTATATTCGAAAGACAAAAACAAACAAACAAAAAAAAAAAAAAAAACAACAACAACAAAGAAAGTTTGTACGAAAGAGCATTGTAGTCAGTAAAAAAAAAAAAAAAAAAAAATCTGGAGGGGGGAGGGGAGGGGGGGGATTATCTCGTAATTACGAGATACTATCTCGTAATTACGAGATACGAGATTGTATTTGTATTGTTTTTATTTTTTTTATGATTGTTTAAAAAAATCACTTTTGACACTGCTGAACTATGTATTTTGTATTGCCAGCACAGATTTAAAATAAAAGGGAAAAAGAAAGAAAAAGAAAGCGTTTATAAACTTCCGGATCGCGCTGTCAGATGTGCACGTTTTATCAGCATGTGCTTCCGGAGCCGCGGTTAATCCAGAACAGAAGGTAACACCGCAGAGAACATTAGTAATAACACGAGTACACGGATAAAAACGAAGAAATACATGATGCCCGTTTGATTAGAGAGCGAGCAGCAATGACTGAAGGCTTTACGTGACGAGGTTTGACTGTTTGGAGCGATGATAGTGTGAATATTTTGATTTCACGGTAACCGGGGAGGAACCACCCACTGATGTCGGAGTATAAGACTCCACAGAAGCCTCCTCCCGGGCTTGGGGCTTCGGTGACTGTCTCCGGGAGCAGAGCCAGGTCCGTGTCTCCTAAACCGGACACGATGGGAGCCGTAGCATCTCCCGTGTTCCACTGGCTTCACGATGTGGTAGCTGTCACTTTCCACAAGGCGAGGCGGACATTGTTCCAAGCAGCTATTTTGTTTTGCGTCCTCGTGCTTCTGCTGTGGGTGTCGATTTTTCTCTACGGGAGCTTCTATTACTCCTACATGCCCACTGTGAGCTTCTCCACCCCTGTGCATTTCTACTACACCGCGGATTGTGACAGCTCCGAGTCTGCGCTCTGCTCCTTCCCCACAGCCAACATCTCCTTCATGAAGAACGAGAAAGACCAAGTGATGGCGAATGGACAGCCCTACCGCGTATCTTTGGAGCTGGAGATGCCGGAGTCTCCCGTGAACGAGCACCTGGGCATGTTCATGATCAAAATGACGTGCTACACTAAAGGTGGAAAGGTTGTGTCGTCTATTGGTCGCTCTACCATGCTGCACTATCGCTCCAGCCTTCTGAAAACAATGAGCACTTTGCTGTTTTCGCCTCTTCTTCTGAGCGGGATGGCCGAGCAGAAGCAGCTCATAGAGGTTGAGCTCGTCTCGGACTACAAAACGAACGCGTATGAACCCACTGTTGGCGCTGTCATTGAGATCCAGTCCCGAAGAGTGCAGATATACTCGTCTCAGTTGCGCATACACGCTTACTTCACGGGTATTCGATATGTCTTGTACAATTTCCCTTTGACCTCAGCTGTGATCGGCGTGGCTACCAACTTCGCCTTCCTCAGTGTTATTGTGTTGTTCAGCTACCTGCAGTTCATATGGGGTGGGATTTGGCCCCCGGAGCAAGTGCGAGTAAGAGTGATGATGGGCGATAACAGCCGTATGCAGCAGAGGAAGCAAGAAGTGAAGAAACGCATGGAGAGGGAGAGCTCAATGAAAGAACTCAATTCTCCTAAAGTGATTGGAGCTATGAACGAAGCATCTTGCTCAAATCAAAATGACACAGAGGGAAAGAAAAAGCTCTCAGTGAGTGAAAGTGCCCCTGCGTTTGTGACCACAGGCGTAGTGTCTCATGAGTCGAACGATACAGAGGAGCAAGAAGGTGGAATTGTGTTTGAAGGATGCCCACTACCTCAGGAGAGTGAGACCATGCTGCGTCAGAGAGCTGGGCCCTGGATGAGCTTGTGAACTGCACAGCCTTTCAAAGCCAAAGTGGAAAAAGCAAATGATAAACAAAAGTATTTTATCTACAAAATATGACCTTATTCTTTAAAGGGTATATATAACAGTGTTTTCTGATCTGTGTTATAATGTTGTTTCCTCATCACCAGGAGTTTTTGTTTTGTTTTGTTTCACTCACATGCAAAAACCTGCTTATTTAGGCTGAGTTCTTCCTTGTTCCACCTTCTGTTGTCAATACAGGAAGTGCTCCACCGCATTTTGAGCTTTGGAAATATAGACAGATTAATAATAACGCATTACTCAGACATGTGTTAATGAAAGAAAACACAACTCACAACTCCTTTTTGAAGAGGTAACAACATTATAACATGACTAAAAGCTCACAAGAGACTATTTGGGTCGTGTAGGACCTTTAGTGCACTTTCTATGGCGTTTCTGCGGTTGCAACATACACATTTGTTCATATCTGGATGCAGAGGCCTCCTCACATGGATCATATCTGTTTATCAGTTGTGCTCAGTTTGGGCTGACATCAAAAGGAATGTTCAAGGATATGAGACATGTTTTAAATAAGCTTTACGTTCCCAAAACATTTACTTGTGTTCACAACATGGCAATTTTGTTATGTTTGTCACAACCTCTTTCCATGTTACTGTTTTATTTGTTACGTTTGTTTTAATACCACATGGTGTAGGTAACTATCACAACAGGACATGCTACATTCCTACTGAAGTGGCCTGAATGTTCCTGCCTGCAGCATGCCATTGGAATTGTCTTATCGATTCTTTGCAGCGATATCACAGTGGGGGTGTTGTGTGCTTATTTCTGTTGGTGGAATGTTCAACAGTTACCGTGGTGACACAATGCACTCATTATCAAACGCAGACAATCTTAAAACAGAATTAAGACTAGGAATGTAACGATATCCAAATCTCTTGGAACGACATTTTCACTATATACCTCTTACGGAACAATATTTACTGAGATGTTTTTTTTCAGAGGCTAAAAAACACAAATTGCTACTTTTTCCTCTTAAAATGCCTTGACAAGACTTAAACCAAAGATTTAAAAGTGCTTTGAACAGTTATGTCTTCAAGTTGTCTACACTGAAATGGAGCAAAGGATCATGGTCTATGTAGTTCCCTCTGTTTTAAGCAAAGAGACTTGTAATTTTGTGATGGCCCACGATATTACTGAGAGATTTTTGATGATACGATTTCACGATATTTCCATTATTGTTACATCCCTACTGAAAACTTAAGAAAAGATACAAAACGGATTTAAACAACACATTTTCAGGAGCCTGTGATCAATAAGAGCACTCATGGTCCTGTTTGGGTGTTTGACTTTCTCACCTGTTGCAGTTCCAACAGCGTCAGCTCTTTTTGGTCAGATTGTGTTAAAATAAAACTCAGATTAAGTCAAATTTTAGTAACAGAGCTTCAGACAGAGTAGTGCTTTCGCTTAGTGTCACCCCACCTGCAAAGTATCGATACGCAATTACATGTTTGGGTCAATTCTCTGGCATCATATAAGAGTTTGAATATTGTACGTGATCAGATATTGTTGACATTCCTGGTTCGATGCTACTTCAGAGACTGTTTATTGAATGTTGGTTGAGTGGTTCAGACGCAGCGGTGAGATGACTCTTTGGAGCGGATTTCACACAGACATGTCTTGTGATTCAGACTAACAGAGGGTCCCAGAGCTCAATTTGATTTGGCAAAAAATTCCCCAATAATAGACCAATATTCTCAAAGGCGTGTTTTATTAACTTCTCAGAGGAAAAATTGCCAGAGGGACATGATGTACAGCAGATTTAGCTTGTGTTAGAGCTGCTGTATGAGACTGGTCTAACTGCTTGGGCACATGCTATTTTATATTTGTTACAGTCACAGTAAGAAATTATTTATCTTTATTATCTGTTTTCATTCCAACAAAGCACTTCCTTTGTATTACTGTATGTACTTTATTTATGTAAGTGTTATGTAAGTGTTCAAAGTGTCTTTATTGTTACTTTGATACAGAATAGGCTTGTCACGATAACACATTTTGAAGTTTGATATATTGCTGAAAAAAATATAGACAATAAATCACCCAAGAGCATATTTAAACCACAAAAACTACTCTAAATCTACAATATTATTAAATAAACAGCAGAATGAATCACTTTAGTTCTGTGTTTGCATCTGTAATGAGTCATAGTAGTTGTTAATTCAACTTTTGATGGATTAAACATCTTAACAAAAAATAACCAAAAATGTCCCTGTAGTGCAAATAAAATGTACACACGATAAATACTGACCACAAAAATATTCAGCTTTCATGTGTTAAATGTAGGTCAATAAAGTAATTATCGTGACAGGCCTAGATACAGGTCATTGGAGTGTGTAGGTGAAATATTCTGATTGAGTAAGTTTACAAGCTTGTAGCAAGTTGGTGTAGCAAAAGCATCATTTCTGTTCTGTCACAATGTATTACTGCTAAAATAATTAAAATAAAAGGCTGGGTCTGTTTAAATTGTTTATTAATTGCAAATATATATATATTTTTTTTTAAACCACAAATTACCACAATAATATTTCATCACCAATGAAATAAGACAAAAAGAGTAAATGTTTGTTTACACATTTATCTCACTTGTCACTAAACCAAACTGGAATATAAAACATGTATTAATTTGTTAAAGGGCCCATATTACACTAATTTCTGATAAATGTTATAATGTTTCCTCATCACAAACATACTGGGAGTTGTGTTTTGTTTCATTCACACATGTTTAACACACAAATTATGCATATTTAGGCTGAGTTGAATCTCGGTTCAACCTTGTGATGTCATGTGAAAATACGGGAACCACTCCACTGTGTTTTTAAACTTCATACACCTTGACTAGAATCATTTGGATGATTTCAGCCCTGGAATTGCCAATCTCTAGTAAACAAAATTTAGCTGTTTACTTGTAAACTACCACATCATGACATCACAAGGTGGAACAGAGCATTTTGAGCTTTGGAGATGTTAGACAGACTAATAATACAGGATTATTCAAAGTCTCAAACATGTGTGAATGAAACAAAACACAACCCAACATGTTTCTGATGAGGTAACAACAGCATTTTTAATATTTGCATGTAACATTGGAGTTTGTTCAGTGTCACATTATCAAAAAGACTATAAAGCTTATGAGCTCTTTTTAAATCTGAGTAGAGAGATATTATGGGCCATTAGCCACATTTTTCAATGCCACAGACTCGCTCTGTCAAATAAATAATGCATTGGCGGTGATAGAGCATCTACTAATTGAATTTAACCCTCTATCGTTTGGAATTTTGCCTCAGCAGGAACTCTTTGTTGTAAAGATTTTTGTCTAACCTAAAAGTAAAGCTTCGATAAATACATAGGTTATAGAGGTTATATTAATTCTCTAAATCTATATATAGTGTTTTGTGCCTATTATTTAGTCATAATGATTTCTTTACCATATATGGTTCAAATACCATGGCCCAGCTCCTCTGCATACCCGGACCTGCATGCCCAGTTTTGAGTGGAGCACTTGAGAGGTGTTTTGAGCTGTCTGTCAGACCGCTCACTCTCATAGCTCATAGTAAAGGGTGTTTAAGAGTTCTGTGGCTCTTCACTGTGCTGCTGGCCCTCCTCTGTTACCTCAGCACTATTCTCACTGGTCACTTTTGATGTGTCTTCTTCGGTCTCAGGGTCGGGACAGTCTGCCCACCGCCCCACTCTCTTCACGCCTTCATTCACGGCTGGAGCATTCACACAGGGGTTGTGATCATAAATAATAAGTTTTAACCCTTCCATGTGACATAAACTTGGGAAGTAACGTATTTTGTTTCGATCCACGTCAATGACAGCGAGGCAGTGCATTTCTAACAACACTGGTGGGAATTCTGTCAACTGATTTCCAGCAAGCCAGATACTTTTCAGCTCCTGTAGTTTTCTTAGTTCTTCTGGTAAAGAGCGGATCAGATTGTAACCTAAGTGCAGAGTTTTGAGGTTGGGAAGCTCACATATTACCTTGGGGAAAACAGTGAAGCAATTAGTCTCCAGCCACAGAGTATTGAGCTCTTTGAGGTTTCTGAGTTCAGAAGGGAGGCTGCACAGCCTGTTGTTGCCCAGGTAAAGGATGCAGAGCTGGGGCAGTGTACAAATGGCTTCAGGGAACTCTTCAAAGCAGTTAAAGTCCAGGGCGAGCAGCTGCAGGTTCTTCAGGCCCTGTAGCGCTGGTGGGAGGCGGCTCAGTTTGTTGTTGCTCAGATAAAACTTCAGGAGCTCTTCAAACACACAGGTGCAGGCGGGCAGACGCCGCAGCTGATGGCTGCTCAGGTCCAGTGTTCGATCCAGAGGCATCTCCTTCAGTTCTCCCACTAAGAACTGCTGTATGCGCTCAGAAGGGATGAAGGTAATGACGCCTCGCATGGTGTTTCCCATTTTTATTCACAAGTCAAATCATGCCTCCTTAAATACAGTGTAATAGACAACAATTACAATCTTAAAACTTAAATGAAACAAATACAAATTTTCAATCATATAAAAAATAATTATCATAATTTCAAAGCACTTACTTTCCTCTTGCTGATGCCATGTGTTTACTCAGCCTAATGAGATGAGAGTGAGACTGGTCTCTGGACAGATAGTCTCTGTGCAGGCGACTATCTCTCCGAGGCTCTCGGCTTTGTCCTGACTTCTCAGGGCGATGGCAACCACACTGCTTTCTCCTCCCCGTTTGTGCCAAATGAGTTTCCCCCTCCGTGGGCCATGGCATAGGTAAGGAAGAGACAGGCCAGTGATTTGTTGGATAGGAAGAAGAATAGTTTTTAATAAATCAGTTTTACTCAGTTTACTGTGCTGGACCATGACATCATTCAACTTTTAATGATATCTAGCAAAAAACAGAATGTAAAAATCAGCACTGCCCCATAAACAGTTGTGTTTCATAAGTGTAGGTGTGTACAAGTTAGAAGCAAGGCACTAATTAGATTTTTATCTTGTATGTTCTATGTATTACATGTGAGTAATCTAATTGAAGCTTAGTTGTTTATTGATGCATTTAATGGTGGCTTATAGGTTAAATATTTTCACACAAAAGGCATAGGAAAGTATTTCATTTTCCTTATCCTTATCTGAGGCCACCACTGTTTTCTGTTGACAGACAGCCTGCTCAAGCACATATCCACCTTATCTGTCTCCAGCCTCCAGCAGACACCAACAACATGGACCAATGCCAAGTTGGCATTAAAATGTCAGGAAAACTATAACAGGACATATCAATGTAGTTTTACACTAAGGAACCTCAAATCTGGTTCAAAGTGTCCAACTTGAACTGTTGTTTGGCAAGTAATTAGCTATAGCCCAAATAATCAGCAGCAAATGCCACTCTAAATAATTAAATGATAATATTTCCACTAAAAAAAAACACTTTTTGCTGGATTGCTTCCTAATGTTTGTATACGGAAGTACTCTGCAGGTTGTAAGGTCAGAGTGCAAAGGTTTTTTTTTACTCAGAACAGCCATCTTGGATCTAAATGCTAAGAAGAGAAATTGATGCGGTAAGTTTAAGTGCTTTTTCGTTTTTTTGTCGTGTTTGTAATTCAGATTTACATTTAGTTAAAGACTTAAATCCCCGGGTGTTCTGTCAGTCCGGAGCGGCCCGGGGTGAGTCTCCGTGGGCCGTGGTCCCGCTCCTGCTCACGGACACAGAGCAGCTCCTGTGGCTCTGGACACGGCCTGATCTAACTCACTGTAGTGACAGCTGAGTGCAGATTTAATGTGGGTTTGTTGATATCAGAGCAGTTATTTACTATCAACATTTGAGCAGAGTTTATTTTCTAAGATCACATAAACTTAGCCAAGTAACTTAGCATGCTAACGCTAGCCCTGTTAGCCTTTAGCTTTGATGTTGGATAAATGTTGGAATAAGTGAAACGTTTCGTTTTTCTACAAAACATTTTTCACCAAGATAAGAGCTTCATTATTTTGGATCATGCTGCTTCGTTTCTTTCAACTTAACTCAATTCGTGGCTCAAGGAAAAGTCGTGTTATTGTTTTGAAAGTTCAGTCCATTTCATTATATTGGATTGGTGTTTGTTCGCCTGATGTTGAACCAAAAGAGACTTTAAGAGGATAAATACTAAACTTCTGTTTACTCTGAAGTATTATAGCATCATGATGAGATATATGTCATCACAATAGCGATCCGGCAGCTCATGTTGCTTCATGGCTCTTTTGTTTACTTTTTAGTTTACTTTGTTTACTTTTTTAGTGTCCAGTGCTCAACAGTTGTGGAACAAACGTCCATAGAGAAACATTTGCAAAAATAATGTAAAAACTTATTATGAAAAAGTGATTATGATGTCATAATTTGTTCATGGGTTTTAGACAAATAATTCTTTCATGATTTGAAGGACTTTGCGAAGACTCAAAATAAATAATATAATGATTAGAGTTGCTTCATTGCTATGACCACAAAGTGCAGATCCCAAAGCTTAAAACCCATGAACAGTTTATCTGAATATTCACATACACTCAAAGAGCTAATCTCTTTATTTTATATGGTTTTATATTGTTACAAACCAAAAACTTTCAAGTTCATAATGTAAGGTGTGTAGATTAGAGTTTTATGATGAAGTTCATTGGCCGCTTTTACATTTTATTCTCTCCTCATTTTTGTACAGGAGGCAAAAGGCATGTTTGGTGCTAGGAAAAAATTTCCTGACTTTGTGGAGGTGGTCGATAACGACTTTTCAGATGACAGCATGTACTACAACCAGCAGTCGATGTTCCCCCATCGGACAGACAAAGATGTGAGTGCGTTCTTTATGAGTTTGTTTTTCTGTGGAGGATGAAATTCAAACTTACATTTCTTCATGTTCTCTGATTTTATCCTGAAGATGCTGTCGTCTCCCTCACCGTCATCATCGAGCCAGCTGTCACAGCTCGGGGCAAGTTTGTATGGTGCACAAAGTAAGTGTATCTCTATTATATTTTTGCACCCAGTATATTTACATAGCTGCTAATGCTAATAGTTAGAGCTATTGTTATGCTTTTGTGATTTCATAATTTTCCTTTTCCCAGCAGGTGCACTTGGTTTCTCTGTAAGGGGTATGGGCAACAGTACACCTCAGTTAAACCGAAATCTTACTCAAGGCAACCAGTTACCAACTCATATCACCCCCACAACAGGGGTCCCAACCATGTCCCTCCACACACCTCCATCACCAAGCAGGTACAGACATCTGTTTATTTCAGTGAATCAGGATCAGTTTAGATGCATCACAAAGTTTTACCTGAAAAGAAACAATAAATGAAATCTACTCATATTTGATTATGGTAAATAGGGGGACTTTGCCAATGAACAGGAACATGTTAAATCACTCACAAGTTGGTCAAGGCCTTGGGATCAGTGGCAGAACCAACAGTATGAGCAGCTCTGGACTTGCCAGCCCGAACCGTAGCTCCCCGAGTATCATCTGTATGCCCAAGCAACAGCCAGCACGCCAGCCCTTCACCATTAACAGGTAGCTCTGTTGTATCATGCTGCTCAAAAAAATGCTAAATAAAAATTATTCTAACAGGTTTTTACTGTGTTTAGCATGTCCGGATTCGGAATGAACCGCAATCAGGCATTTGGAATGAACAATTCATTATCAGGGAGCATCTTCAATGGCACAGGTTTGTCTGACTCATGCATACACCTTGTATTCTGTTTATTTATGTGAGGTAATTTCTCTTAATTGTAATATTTATGCAGATGGAAGTGAAAACATTACAGGTCTGGATCTGTCAGATTTCCCTGCATTGGCAGATCGGAGTCGAAGAGAAGGGACAGGAAACCCATCGGCGGTGCTCAGCCAGCTGTCGGGCCGAGCTCCTTATGGTAACTGAAAACATTTATTACCCACTATATTTCAAACAAACCTTTTGTTAATCTATAATCTATACCCTGTACAGTTGGCATGGTGACAAAACCCTCCACTGATCAAACACAAGATTTTTCTATCCACAATGAGGACTTCCCAGCACTTCCTGGTCCAAACTATAAGGACCCAACGTTAAACAGCGATGACAACAAAAATGTATGTTTCTGTACCGTTGTCCTTTTGTGCACAGACATTACATGTTTTAATGAGTGTTTTAAATACTCCTCAGAATTTAAACGTCACAACCAAGAACACGTGTAACACGGATGGACCAAAATTCCCTGGAGACAAACCTGTGTCAGTTCAGAATAACAACAACCAGAAGAAAGGAATCCAGGTGTTGCCTGATGGTGAGCTGAGCTTAGGCTGTTTATTAATGCTGTATTTGCTCTGAGAGTGTGTGATGGTTGTCATATGTTAAAGGTCCGATGTTATGCAAAATTAAGCCATGTTAGGGTGTTGAGACCGCCTCAAAAATATACTTAGAGTTGTTTTGTTTCATTCACACATGTTTGAATAACCCTTTATTATTAATCTGATTACATCGCTAACGCTCAAAATGCCCTGTTCCACCTTGTGATGTCATGAATCGATATTTTTCAAGTTAACAGCTCCTTTTACCTTTTAGTTCAGTAGAGGTTGACAATTACAGGGTTAAAATCATCCAAATGATTCTAGTGAAGGTGTATGGAGTTTAAAAACACAGTGGGGCTCTTCCTGTATTACCACATGAGATCACAAAGTGCATTTTCTGTTTGAGAGAATAATAATATATTCAGGGTTTGTGTGTTAAACCTGTGTGAACATATTTGTGATGAGGAAACAACATTATGCATAGATCAGATAACAGCATAATAAGGGCCCTTTTATTCTTCCTTAAGGTCGGGTGACGAACATTCCCGCGGGGATGGTGACGGACCAGTTTGGGATGATCGGTCTGCTCACTTTTATTAGAGCGGCAGAGACTGATCCAGGCATGGTTCATTTGGCTTTAGGAAGTGACCTCACCACTCTGGGGCTCAACCTGAACTCCCCTGAGTAAGACACCTGTTCGATACTCATAAATATTCATAATTAAGACTGTAATTAAGGGAAGGAATTAAATTGTGTTTTTTCTTACAAGCATTTTGATTTCGCATTTTAAAGGTGCACTGTGTAACTTTTCTGGAGAGGGTCCACAATCTGTTTGTCTCCATGGAGATGTTAATGTTTGGTTTAAATTGTCCACAGTACGGCATTAAACTGTTTTACATTTATTTAACTACAGGTGTTATTTATTGCTCAAAAATATCTTAAAATACATGAATTCTTTCTGTCCTCTCTACAAATCTAACCTGTAATTTGGCTTGCACGTCTTTGCGGAAATTCCTAAGTTTATGGCCATTCTGTGGAACATTCTAAGCACATCTCCATGCAGACAAGCCAGATGGATCAGCAGAGAAGTTACGCAATGCACCTTGAACTTGTCCAGGAAACGTTTATATTAGAAAGGCTGAAATATAAAAGCTTAAAATAATACAAATAAACCCATGTATTTCAGAACATGTTTATAGAGATCTAAACACAAAGTCATTTTCATAAAAACGTTGGAGCTTTTTGTGGTTTTGATACTTACTGCCAATCCTACTCCAAGATGCATGTTGTAAATTATGAATGTTATACACTATTAACTCTTCTATGCCCAAATATTCTTATCATACTGGAGGTTTTATTTTACCTTTTGTTTTCACAGAAATCTCTACCCAAAGTTTGCCTCGCCGTGGGCATCAGCACCTTGCCGACCTCAGGACATTGGTAAGTTTTTCATAAATTGTATTGCCAAGTCTGGATTCTAATTCTTGTAGTTAAAGATTTAAGGTTTTGCCACAAATGCTAACAGTATAATTTTTTTTTTCAGACTTTCATGTCCCATCTGAGTACTTAACCAATATCCACATAAGAGACAAGGTACGCATTTTTTATAAGTATATAAAAGTTTGGAGACACTTTTTGTCTTTATTTCTATGACTATTTACAGTGTAGATTCTCACTGAAGGCATCAAAACTATGAATGAACACATATGGCACGTAGTAGACTTGTGAAATAACTTGCTTTAGATTTAAAAATATCCACCCTTTGACATTTCTTGACCCTTGTCCAATGAGCTTGATTTGGTCTTCCGATCATTTATGTTACTAGGTTATTTTTTCAGACCAACAGTTTGTTTTCATACCTGACGGTTTTGATTGCTCACTATTGGTCTTCCTCAGAGTGGTCACGTGATGTTGACCTGGGATACTGTCCTGAGGAAGTCGGTCTACAGAACCAAAACCTGTATAAATCACAGCAACATCACGTGACCACTCTTAGGAAGACCGCTAGTGAGCAGTCGAAACTGTATGAAAACAAAGTCTTTGTCTGAAAAAAAAAAAAAAAAAAGACACAGCTATGAGGGAGACTTCACCCAGAGGCGCATTGCGAGAAGGCCCAGGGTTTGCAGTGTTGTCAGCAAATCAAAGTGTGGATCCATAATTCCATACTTCATATATTTGATGTCTTCAGTACGTATATCAAATGTAGAAAGTGGTAAAAAAAGACATTAAATGAGAGAGTGTGTCCAAACCATTGACTTATGGTTTTGTTTTGCTGCTAAAAATATACACTACCAAAGTACCAAGGCATTACACAACAATTACAACTCTCAAGAGCGATGAGTAATTCTGCTCTCATTTCTCTAGCTGGCTGCTATTAAACTGGCTCGATACGGGGAGGACCTGCTGTTCTATCTGTACTACATGAACGGAGGAGACCTGTTACAGCTTCTGGCAGCAGTTGAGCTGTAAGTATCCACCTTACATTAGCCACTGTGAGGTTTTCTGAACTAAAATTAAATTAAACTTTATCCATTAGCTTTAATCGGGACTGGAGATATCACAAAGAGGAGAGAGTCTGGATAACAAGAGCACCTGGCATGGAACCCACCCTGAAGACCAATACTTACGAAAGGGGAACATACTACTTCTTTGATTGTATTAACTGGAGAAAAGTAGCCAAGGTATGTTCATATATATATTTGTATTTAATATTGAAGTGTTTTGGTGTGAGGAAACATTCTAAAGTTCTTCTTATTGTTTATTTTCTGAACAGAAGGGCTACTGTAGGCCATAGACTGTATTAAGAAGTGGACTAAGAAACAAAATAGCAAAATAAAAACACCAGGATGATGTGGAGCGGGTTAATACGAACATTTTAAGACCAAAATGAGGAGCCTGACAGCAGCAGACATGGAGAGAGGGCTGACAATTTTTCAGTACAAAGTGAATTGGAGCCAGAGTCTGTGGAGTCATAAGCATGTTCATACTCACTTCCTGTTTGCAGCTGCTTGCGGGTTAGCTGCGTGCATTTATCTGTAGTCTATGGTTTCCACAGAGTATGGAGTGAATGAATAAAGACTACACTAAGGCTTGCACTTATAAGAATGAATTTGGAGCCGAGTTTCATATTAGTAATAGGGTATAATTTACGGATAAAATAGCGAAATGTTATCGGGTTCTTTTTTCAGACTAAGAGTTTGTTTTCATACCTGACAGTTTCAGCTGCTCACTAGCGTGCTTCCTCAGAGTGGTCATGTGCTGTCCGGTAGGAAGAGAGTGTCAAAACCTGTATAAATCAGCTGACCGGACACGTCACAGAGACATCACGTCACCACTCCGAGGAAGAGTACAGAGAACAGTCGAATCTGAATGAAAACAAACTATTGGTGTGAAAAAAGAACCAAATAACATAGATTATCGGACGAACAAATGAACCTTGTTGGACTAAAATAGCAAAATAAAAACACCAGGGTTATGTAGAGTGGGTAAATACGAACATTTTAAAACCGAAATGACGAGGCTCACTGTAGCAGTTACATAGAGAGGTGAGATTTTTTAATATAGTGAATTGGGCACAGAGTTGATGGAGCCGGAAATGTGCCCATGTTCACTTCCTATTTGGAATGTGGTGGGTAGCGGGTTATGTCCACTTATATATAGAGTCTGTGTCCATGACCCACTCCAAAACAAGCACAAAACAGGTAGAAAACAACAATTAGTCTAAATTAGCAGAACTAGTTTTCTAACTGACGAGTAATTTATCACAGAAAATTCACATCCCCTTGTCGGCATAACAATCAAGCATCACATACAACAGCAGTAACTTTAACAACAAATAAGGAGTTACAAAAACAGCAAAAGGTGTACTCAAATATCAGATCATTACACTGTTTTTTGTGTCTGATTAAATTTTGTTGCAGGAGTTTCATCTCGAGTACGACAAACTCGAAGAGAGACCTCATGTGCCAACAGCGTACAACTACAACCCAGCACAGCAGGCCTTCTGAGGCCACAGGCACTCTGCTGATGTGCACCAGTCTGGCCCCAGCGCGGTGGGGCAGTTTACAGTTTGGTTTTAACCCCTGGGGGGCGCTATAGGGCTGTTTGACTGTCAGACTGCCCAGCCTTTTCCATTTACATGCTGCCCAAACATTTGTTCTGATTTGATGTTTTCTGTGATCCGTCTTGTTTCAGGGTCTGTGAAGTTTACATCTCAGTTTGTTGCGTTTCTTTTTTCTTTTTTTTTCAAAGACTCTCCACACGAGGCTCAGGCCTGATTTTAAAAACTGTTGAGACAAGCAGGGAAATCAAACTATTCTCAAACAAAAGTAAAGGTGGAGAGACATGCAGTGTCTATTGTTGCACTTTGTTTAGTAATAAAAGAACACAACATTTGTTTGTGCTTTTTTACGTCAACACTCCCAAAAATCTCTTTGTTCAGGGAGTTCAAAACATAATTCATTGCATGATACTTTTTTCTTACATTACCTTTATACAATGCTTCTTCTCCAGTGCGGACTCCATCAGAGCCTTTCTCTCTGTTCTGTGGGTTAGGCGTATTTCAGAGATGCATTCGTTTTTCACAAATGTGAATTTGTCCGCATAAAGAGGCAAAACAGCTCCACTGTTTGCCTCAGATCAAGCTAAACTTTCCAGTCTTTGTTAAAGTTTTTGTAAGAAATGTGAAATGTAAATGTTTGATTTTTGCATCACATAATTTAGTATGTACAGATATGTATATATGATTGCTCTATATAAATATATGTATGTACATATATATGACATCTATTTTGGAAGAAATTTGCCCTGCCTTGTTACCTAGTTTTTATTGGGTGAGCATGGTGCAATATGTAGATGTTATTTCTTGAGCTGGTGGGCAGGTGCCACATGGCACTGTGGGCACTTAGACTAAACCAAGGTTTGCCTGAAGCTAAAGAAGCTGTGTAAACAGCACTGGCAGCATTTCATTGGATTAGGAAACTGACTGAAGAGATGATGAGACCAATCTTGTACTTTCTGAAGTTTTCTTTGTATTAAAGATGAAAAGGCTTTACCCACATGATTCTATATTTCTTTGCATTACAAACACATTTCTGTTAAAAGTGCATTTATTTATACTTGGAATGACTGAACATACAAATGTAGACGATTTTACTGACTTGTGCACAATCACAATTAGTCTGCCAGTTTAACAGAATATGAATATGTATTAATAAAACATCCAAATGTTCACAATGTTAGAGCCCAATGGCACTAATGGGACAGGACATGAAATTAAAACAAGTTTGATTAACTACAAAATTAATCAAATAAATATTAAAAAGTATGAACGTCTGATTAGCAACAGCTGCTCAATTTGACCCTGCGCTCCTCATATCTTTAATTATAAAGTGTGCAGGTCTTGCAATGCTACAATAAAGCAATTTTATAAAAAGCTGAGTTCATGGAAGTGACATTATCAAAGTTTGGGGTTACACAAACGTTGTGTAACACGGGTACCACAGACTGTATACAGATATACACCGTCTATGATGGGTACCTGTACTGTAATTATTAGGTACATTCTAATTGCCTTTTCACATTTTATATTTTCAACAGCAAAGGACACTGTTGTCATGGTTTTGGCCACAAAATGCTGGTTTAACCCTTAGTTACATTAACACATTTATGACATCAACATTCAGGTCATTTTGAAGCTGTTTCAGGAACGGCCGAGCTGCTCGAAGTTTCTTCTGTTGAAAAAGACAGGAAATACAGGAAATATAAATAAGTCCTGCAGTGTGTGAGTGCATTATTAAACAGACATTATTAAACAGCATATTATCAAACCTTTGTCTTTCTTCTCCTGTGTCTCTTCTGCTGCGGTTTTATCTGCCCTGAAGAATATCCTGGCACTGCTCAGAGAAAAGTACAGCAGCTCAAACTCCTGCAGGACAGAGACATGTGTAAGTGTAAGTGTGTGGATCTGCATTTAAAAACACACACTGTTCCAGTATAAAGACCTGGAGGTAAACATCTAATCTCTTCTGTGTGAGGTTCATGGTCTGGAGCAGTTTCTCGTCCTGACTCGTGGCCTGGACGCTCTGCTCCTTCACCACCGCGCTCATTTCCTTCCTGTATTTATCTCTGACCGCTTGAAACCAGTGCAGAGAATCGAACTCCAAATACTGGTCCAGCAGCTTCAGGATGTAGGCCACACCTGAGACAGACCCACAAAAGCCTCATGAGATCAGGGTTTTCATGTCGCAATAGGAGGTTTTCATGTATTTACCCATCGCAAAACCGTCATCTGTGAAGGCCGCTCCGGTTTTATTTTTCTTGTTAAGTTTCTCTTTACAGCTGATGGAATGTTCGACAAAATTCACAGTCTAGAAAACAAAAATAAGGCATTTTAACACAAATGTAAATACAAAATTCATTTAGAATGATACAGATACTTGATGACCAGATTTTCAGAATCAAAAACGGGGACACACCTGATTTGTGGTGGTTGGTAATAATAAAATTGTGAAACAAGTGCAATCTGCATATCATTTGTTCATTTGTTTTTCAAAATAATAACAAAAATAAGAAAATTCACGGTAACGTCCATTATTCATTTAAACACAAAATTGAAAACTGAGAAAACAAATCACTATCCGTTTTTTCATTTTGGTTTTGGAGATAAATAATGAAGAAAATAGTTTTAGTTTTTTTTTTTTACATTTTTAAACTTTTTGGTTTTATTTTGAAAAACGAATGAATGAATGATACATGGATTAAGTGCGTAATTAAGGAATTGCTCTGCACTCATGATTTATTCACGACTAACATGTGAGTCAGTATAGGTCACATTTTCTTTTCTTTTGGTCGTTTTTAAGCAGCTTTTCTGTATTTTATGTAGAAAAGTGACAATTCATGCCTCTCTTTACTGCTGGCAGGGATCAGATTGGTTAAAAACAGGGACACTTGGGACATTTATTGTGTAAAACTGGTTTTGGATAAATTCGCTGGGACAGGGGACACAGGGCTCAAAACTGGGACTGTCCCGGGTAAATAGGGACATCTGGACACCCTACATGTATCTCTATTTAACCAATGTTCAGGAGTTACCATGGAGACACATGCACACAGTAGCAAACAGAACCAACAAAGTCTTTTGAGTCCGAATACTCAAAAGGACAAAAAGGACTAAAAACAACACATTTTCAAGAGCCTGTGGTCTATACGTTTAGGAGTTTGATTTTCAACAAATATGGTGAAAGTAACGAACTGAAAAACTGAGAGATTATTTAACACTTATTGTAGTTTCAACCAAGTCACCTCGTTCTGGTCATATTGTATTAATTGAAAGCTCAGATTAAAGTCTAGCAAAGCCTCAGACAGAGCAGTGCCTACAGTTAGAATCACACCCCCAGGGACCGTTAACGACATCAGATACAAAGAGTTGTGTGCAAAATGTAACTTACCAGAGGAGGTACGATCATGTAGAAGTTTCTCAGATGCATGTTTTTCATACTGCGAAACTCCGGAGCAAAAACCGCCACAAGCATCTTGAAATACTCCGTCCCCTCGGCAGAATTACTCGTCAGATCTCCCAACACAGAATCGAGAACACTGGTTGAAAAAAAGGGAACATTTCAAGACTTCATATATCCAAAAGTATTAATGAGATGGATTCAAAGGGCCCAGATTACGGCGTTTTAATGTTGTTTCCTTATTACAAACAGACCTGGAGTTGTGTTTTGTTTCATTCACACGTTTAACACACAAATCTGCAAATTTAGGCTGAGTTTTTCTCTTTTTCTCTGTGTTTTTAAACTCCATACACCTTCACTAGAATAATTTGGATAATTTCAGCCCTGGAATGACCCATTTCTATTGAAAAGGTAGCTCCTGAACAGGGCAATTTGGAGACATAAACAACCTAATAACCAAGAATTACTTAAAGCTCAAACATGTGTGAATGAAACAAAACACAACTCCAGGAAAGTTTTTCATGAGGTAACATTATAACATGGCTTAAAGCTCACAAGAGTCAATTTTGTGTAATATAGTACGAGCCTGCAGTGCCCCCTACTGACATAAATATAGAATGAGAGAAGTAGCGTGTTGATTTTTTATTTATTTGCTTCAGTACATACCCAGCAGCTCTCTGGGTTTCGGTGGACAGTCCCTCTTCTTTTACCAACTCCTCAAAGTTTACAATATCCTCCAAATCTGGAACAAACCTGGAAATATTGAGGTACAAAACAAATATAGTAAAAGCAGTGAAAAACCAGGAGAGACAAATTTAAAGTTTCTTATTTACCTTATTGCGCTGCTACAACAGTGGAGCCCTCCGGAACGGATCATTCTCACGTAACCCATCGCATTGCCTGAGAAAAAGATTAAAAATAATAATAAAACAATGATTTTTATAAAGCTAATATTAAAGAGCCAATATTACTGTTTCCTCATCACAGACATACCTGGAGTTGTGTTTTGTTTCATTCACACATGTTTAACACACAAATCCTGCATATTTAGACTGAGTTCTGCTCTCAAACAGAATACAGGAAGTGCTCCACTGTGTTTTTAAACTCCATACACCTTCACTAGAATCATTTGGATGATTTCTATGGAGTACAAAAGCTTTCAGAAATATTTGTGTGCATAGGTTAGATATATGTGCAAATTTGGCTATAGTTGAGAATAAAATAAATATTTGTAAACTCTTGAATGAATCCAGTCGTACATAAAATGTGTTGTGTGTATTTTATGCATCAGAATATGAACTGAAAAGTTACGTGACTCAACTGTCAAAAATATATCACTTCACAGGCAGAAGAAACATAGAATGAGATGGACTTTTGGACCACATACGGACTGAACAGGACTAAACCATACATTTTATGAACGACTGGACTCATTTGAGAGTTTACGAATATTTATTTTATGCTCAACTACACACTACTACAGACAAACATCCACGGATTTCCTATGCACATAAATATTTCAGAAAGCTTTCTTACTCCATAGATTTCAGCCCTGAAATTGCCGATCTCTACTGAAGTAAAGGTAAAAAGTAGCTGTTAACTTCCACTAATCTACCAAACATCACAAAGTGAAGCGGAGCATTTTGAGTTTTGTTGATGTAAACCGACTAATAATAAAGGATTACTCACAAAACACAACTCCAGGTCTGTTTTTGATGAGGAAATAACATTATAACATGGCTAAAAGCTCACGGGAGTCCATTTTGTGTAATATAGGACCTTTAAACTAATTATAAACTCACCAATCTGACTGATGAGCTGCCTGAACTGGTCTAAGTAACTTTGGCCGTCTGGTGTGATACCGAGCTTTCTTATGCCACGGTTAAACTTCTCTGCCCGTTCAAATGGATACTACACAAGAAAATACACAAGTTAGACAAAATATAGTGAAATAAATGGTCCTCAAAATGTCACCTATACTAATACAGTAAGTCAAAGGCCGATGGTACTGATGTGCAGTGGTCTAACCTTCTAGGCGTATTTCTTTAACATTTTTAGGGAGTGTAATTTGTATTTGTTGTGTCTCATATTGTTGAGAATCCTTAAAAAAATCAGTGGATCTTAACAGTGAGTAAATGTTCATGGTCAGTAAAAATCAGAAAACCCAATCATTAATTAGATCAGACTTTAAAATACCTGATACATGTCATTTAATTGTTTTTAAATTGTTATTTCAATTAGCTGATAACTCCAGAAATCAGGTAATGAGCAGAATTTTGGTGTGCATAAACACAGCTACGAATCTGATCTATAATAATTCTGTTCCTTTTCAAAACTACTGTAATATTTTATAATAAGGGCGGGACAAAATCTTGTGCCACAAGATCTCACCTGAGGAAATGATCGAGAGATTTTTTCCCATGTGGATTTCACAAAAAAAAATGATAAATTATTGGTGAATTACATACCTCCTAGTCCCAAAAGCAGTACTTAAACAAAATATATGAAAAACTGAGAGGCCAAAATTGGGAACTGAATCAGAAAATTTATACTATATCAGGAATTATGTAAACATCTTGTGGTTCTCATGGACTCAGTTT